CCTTTTTATATAATTTTATTTATCAATTAATATGATTTATTTTTCTCTCGTCTATAGATTTTTGAATATTTTTTAAAATAAATAATCAATTAAAAAATAAAATTTTCTTGTTTTATTTGCTTATTTGTTATATAATTAAAATATATCAAAATTAATTTTGTAATTATTTTTATTGCAGCCTACTAATTTTAATATATTCTATTTGAAAAAAAATTAAGTTTGGCTTATATTGCACATTTTGATCAACTGAGTATGATCATATATATATATATATAGTGTTGTGAATAGTAATTCACCCTAAATTTTTTATTTTATTTTTTTATAATTATAATGTCAGATTAGTGCACATGAGTTTGAGTGAACAACACAAATAAATTTAAGTAAATAGTGTCGTGAATAATAACTCAACCTAAATTTTTTTTTGGTTTTTTTTAATAATTATAATGTCATATTAGTTGCACATGAGTTTAGTAAATAATACACATGAGTCTAAATAAAAAGTGTCATAAATAGTAATTCATCCTAATTTTTTTTGTTTTTATTTTTATAATTATAAAGTCAGATTAATATACACAAGTCCGAGTAAATAGTGCACATAAATCTTGAGTAAATAGTGTGATAAATAGTAAGTCACCTTACATTTTTTATTTTTATTTATAATTATAATGTCATATTAGTGCACATGAATAGTAAATTTTTCTAGTTTTTTTTTTATATATATATATAACTATAATGTCATATTAGTATACATAAGTTTGAGTGAATAGTACACATGGACTCGAATGAATAATGTCATGAATAGTAATTTGTCTAAATTTTATAGTTTTTTTACTAGCCGGTTGTCTCCGCTACGTTGCAAATCCGATAGAATAAAATCATTATAAAATTTATAATTTTTTATTTAATTATTTTTATTTAATTTTTTTCATAACTTTTCTGTTTATAATATATATATATATATATATATATATATATATATATATATATATATATATATATATATATATATATATATATAAACCATTCTTCTTTTATGGATTGATTTTAAAATATAAGACTACAATAATTTTAATTAAAATATTAATAAAAAATTAAAAAAACTTTTAAAAAAATATTTTTCATAATATTGTATTTCAAAGAATAAAGTTATAATTAATGAATAGATTTTTATAAAAATTAAGAAATGAAAGAAATTTTATTTAATGCTTATGAGAAGATTAATTTTTGAAATTATCCGCGGAACGTTACGGGTAGATAGAACGAAATCATTTCAAAATTTTATAATTTTTTCATTAATTATTATTATTATTATTATTATTATGTGTTTTTTTGTACAATTTCTGCTTAAAAAAACATGATTTGTTCCATTTTTATTCAGGGATTCTTAAATAAAAATTTGTAATAATTTAAACCTAAAATATTAATTAATAATTAAAAAATATTTTTTTATAAGAATGTATCCAAAAAATAAAGTTACAATTAATGTATAGATTTGCATAAAAATTAACTAATAAAAAATAAAAATTTATTTTTATTTAATGTTGGTGAGAACATTTTTTTTAAAGTATATGCATTTGATCTTTGTATATTTATTTGCAAAAGAATAATCAATAAAATTAGCATAAAAACTATATTTGAATAATTAGTTGGTTCCTTTAAAAAATTATTTTATTTCAAATAAATTGGTTCTATAATGTTAAAAAAATTATTCATAGTAAATAATTTGTATTATGTTAGAAGATGTATAGTTATTTTTTAACAAAAATAATTATTCAATAGTTTTTTTATATGTCTTGACCATACATAGTGAATCGAGATAAATTATTTGAAATGCATTTTTAATCTTTTATAATAAAATAATTATATATTTATATATATGCAATTATCATTTAAAAATTCTAAGAATTCATGATATATATTATACCAATTTATTTTTTGAAAGAGAAAAAACAATAACCTTTTAAAATTTTATTCTAAAATTCAAATAAAGAGAAAAATAAATTACATTTATCAGTATAATTGAATGTATAGCATAAATTAAAAAATATTTTAAAAAATTAAATTATAAAATGTATATTGAAGTTAATAGGATGCAATAAAAAATATAAAATTGATTTTGATAAAATTTGATTATATGAAGAACTACAAATCCATTGACACGCTAGTTTCTTGAAAATTTAGCATGAAAAAATTGTTTGTAAATTAGTTTTCATTTTTCATTCTAATTTGCATACAAACTTACGTGTCAATGGATAAATAGTTAAATAATGTTGAATAGTAATAAATGATTGATCCTTCATGAAATTAAGTGGTAATTGCAGCATGTGCTTGTAATGAAATTTTGCATGAGAAGTTTGTCTGTATAGCATTATTCAAAAATAAATAAAATAAAAATGTGACTCGGTCATATGACTAATATAATGATAGCACTCGTTATAAATATAACTTGGTAAATTCTCTTGTTTGTAGGCATAACTACATAAGTAACACCCCCAACAATTGATAGAAGCCTATGGTTTGATTTAAAAGGAATGACAATCGTAGTTAAACTCCTATAATTTTATGGATTTTTCATGATCGAACAAAAAAAAGTAAAGTTTCAAACTTTGGATACTGCACTGAGGACTATAGAGATAGTTTTTTACGTGGAAGAGAGATCAACATGTGATGAATTCCACATATAAGTGGAGAAAAATTTATATTTGTTATGAATAAAAAATTTAACGTATTTATATATAAAATAAACTTAAAATCTATTAATTTAAACTTTTAAGTTAAAATGATTTTTGTTCTTGTGAGTAGACCTTCATGTGTGTAGGCTTAAAAAAGTGCCCAAATGTGAGTTAAATAAACTTTTAGTCCAGGTATATTATTTTTTGAAAAAACTATTTAATTCTTATAATTTTTTAAAAATAATTAAATAATCATTTGATTTGTGTGGATCGTGCTTAATTTATTAGCTTTTTGTTCCAAAAATGTACTTTCTTTTCTCATCAAATCTTCCTGACTGATCTAGTCCTCTTTTTCTTTTTTTATTCTATTTATTAAAAAAAAGAAAATAAGTTAGAAAAAAATTATGAAGTTGCTGAAAAAGTTAAGTTACAAACGGATATAAAGAGGATTAAATATTCAGTTTTTGAAATAATAAGGACTAATTAATTTATCTTATTAAACTATAGGGACTAACTTATAATTAAGTCTCCCACCGTCCAAAGATTGAAAAAGAAATACTTTTATTGCTACCATATAAGTCAATTCGACGTTGGTCCCCGGCAGACAGCCGCCCTGTCGTGCACATTAATTAAATCATAGATTGTGGTCCATTTTTTTTTTTTTTATAAAAAAACTAATTATTTATTTTTTAAAAAATATTTTTTTAACTTTAAATAATATTATATTAAACATAGTTAACATTCGTTAAGACGTTAAATAATTATTTTTTCAGTAAGAATATTAATTAATTCATACTTTTTTAAACTAAAAAATTAATTTATAATTTAGTCATCAATTTCTTATTGCTTAAACTTTTTAATAACCTATGATAGTTGTCTCCGTACATGCAGAACAAAACAGAGCTTGAACCGAAATAAAAAACGTGAATACAAACAAAAACAAAAGAACAAATTAGCAAAACTAATTCAATTAGAAAAAAGAAATATAATTATTTACAATCAAAACAATGTAAAAAAAATCCATATAATCTAGTTGCGGTTTCGCTAGCCTATCCACTCGTGTTTGTTTAGCTAAAAAAATTAGATTATGATTGCAGTTACGATGATGATTTAAAAATATTTGACTAAAAGAGATTTTTCTATAAATAATTAGTTATAATTATTTTTTAATAGTATTAAATTTATATTAGTTTGAGTTATAAGACCGTTCAGTGATTGATTAAAAATTAGATATATTTTTATGATGACTTAACTCGAAAAAAGATGAATTTAATCTCAATTGATACAAAAAATGATTTAAAAATATTTTATTATGTATATAATGCGGTCTCTTCTTAGAAAAAAGATGAGATTCATTTGAATCTAACAGCTGATTTTTTTTTTTAATATATCAAACAAAATTGCTTAGTTTTTTTTGGGCCGAAAGGATACTAATAATTTTTAGTTAAGGGTTGGTTGCTATGGTGGTATTTTTGGATTAGAAGAAATCCAATAATAATAAAAAAATAAAATTAAAAGACTTATCAGGTCAACGCCGGTCCCTTAAAGTGGGGTCCACTTATATCTTAGTTTCCTACAGTAACCTTCGGGCCTTTTTCCCGTTAACGTCTTTCGGACTCCGAGCATAATTCACGCCGGCTAGCTTAACTTCCTATACCAGCAGCTCCTGCGTCTCCACGTCTCCCATAAATCCTCTTACGTGGCAAGACCTTATCGGTGGTCACGTGCATAACAACCATCGTGAGGGGGACACAGTGTCCGTTGACTCGAAGTCTTCGGTTATGTCCTAACCATTAAGAAATGATAATAAAACAAAAAAGAGAAAAAGAAAAGGAAGAATTTCTGAACATCAGAGCTTCAAATTGCTTTAACTGCCTTAACTATCTTTCTCTTAAACCCTGAAGTTCTAACTCTGCATTGGAGGCTCTGCTGACTTTTCTTTCTGATCAGGTCAATTTCTTTCTTTATTTGTGTTTGTGTGTAAGGGTTTACTTTGTTTGGTTGCTGAGAAAAAAGTTGGCATGAAAGAAAGACCAAGATGAGTAATTGTGTTCTTTTGATACAAAAAGTAATGGGATTATCTCTGTCTTGATTTTTTGATTAGGAGTAAGTAGTTCAACTTAAAAAGTTATATTAAATGATGAAATGCTTGAGGTATATATAAATTAAGAAATTCATTAATCTTTCTTTGTATCTTTTCATTCATTTATTTTGTTTTCTCTGCGCTTGCTTAATGATCTAGACGATTTAAGGAAATTTGCTCCAAATTGTGTGTTCAAATCTGATTAGTTAGACACCCACGTGTGGTAATCTTGAGTAAAACTTTGGATGTTTGGACATGGAGGCTGGTACTTAGGTCCTGGAGACTTCAGAATTCAAGAAAAAAACTGAAGAAATTTTGTGGGCGTGTGCGAGAGAGATCAGTGTGTTAGAATCTTTGGTACAAGGATTTCTTTACCTATGCAATCACAATTTTGAAATTATTTAGGAAAAGTTATCGATTCTTGTCTTTGACGAATAATGACATTATCAAAATCTTTCATTTTTGGCTAGATTGTGATGATTCATGAGAATGAGTTTGTTTTTGAACTAACTACTAGGGTTTTGAGGAGTTTTGATTCAACATTTTGTTTTGCTTTTTTTAGCAATTGAAACAAGGAAAATCCAACTGGTGTTTATTTTCTTTGTTTCTGTTTATGTTGCTCTCAAAATTCTGCTGTTTGGTTGAAAATGAATATGTCTATTGTCTTAAGCGAATTTTCCGGAACTGATTGCAAACACAGGTGATTTGTTGGATGCTGATTTGGATTTGTGGCATTGTTGGCAGGTGATTGTAGGAAAGCATTGGACTTTGGATTCTTTCATTTTTGCGATTTGTAGGTAACTTGACAACAGTTGATGGTCTATATCTGTAGGTTTTCCTTGGTAATGAGATGGGAAAAGCAGTTATCGTCAATGCATCGCTTGTTTCTATAACGGAGTTGCTTTCTCATACTGTAGTCGCCATATTTGACACAATACATGCAGCCAAAGAAGTACTCATTCAAAAGGAGAATTTCAAGAAATTTTCGACTTACTTGGAGAAGACAGCATTTTTCTTGAAAGATTTATCAAGGTTCAATCTAGACCATTCCGAGGGCTTAAATAATGCTGTAGAAATTCTTAACCGTGAGACTAAAGTTGCAAAGAGGCTAGCTGTTGAGTGCAGCAACAAGAATAAGGTCTATCTCTTACTGAATTGTCGAAAAATCGTGAAGCATTTAGAGGCAAGCACAAAAGAGATCAGTCGCGCCTTAAGTCTCATACCGCCTGCCTCTTTAGATGTTTCATTGGGTATAAGTAATGAAATCAGCAAGCTATGCAAGAATATGCTGGATGCAGAATATCGGGTAGCAGTGTCGGAGGAGGAAATTTTGGGAAAGATTGAGTCAGCAATAGAGGAGGGAATTGTTGATCAATCTTATGTGAACAATTTGTTGGCTAGTATTGCTGACGCTGTTGGGATCTCTGGTGAGCGGTCAACTTTGAAGAGGGAATTTGATGAATTCAAGAATGAAATCGAACATGTCAAGCTAGGAAAGGACATTTCAGAAGCTATACGGATGGAGCAGATAATTTCATTACTCGGAAAAGCTGATGCCTCTACATCTTACGAGGAGCGAGAGAGGACATACCTTGACAAGAGAAATTCTCTGGGAAGGCAAACATTGGAACCTCTCCAGTCATTTTGTTGTCCAATTACTCAGGATGTAATGGTTGATCCTGTGGAAACTTCCTCTGGTAAAACATTCGAGAGAAGTGCAATAGAAAAATGGTTTGCAGAAGGGCACAACTCCTGTCCCTTGACCATGACTACCTTAGACACTTCGTTTCTACGTCCTAACAGAACTCTTCTTAGATCGATTGAGGAATGGAGGGATAGAAACAATTTGATTACCATTGTTTCCATTAAACCAAAACTTCAGTCAAACGAAGACCAAGAAGTTCTTCAATCCTTGGGCAAGCTACAAGATCTGCTGACAGAACGAGAGATGCACCAAGAATGGGCAACGTTGGAGGACTACATACTGGTTCTTATTGGACTTCTTGGTGCAAAAAATCGTGAAATAAGAACCCATGCTCTGTCCTGCCTTTGCATCCTTGCAAAGGGGAAAGAACACAACAAGGTAAATCTGAAGTCTATTTTCTTACACACACACACATATGTATATACATATATATGGTTAAGCCAAACAGATTAGCCCTAGTCCATCATTGATAAGATAAATAAACTTGAACTAGCCATGTAACGAACTTTGATGGGGTAAATAGCAAATAATCCGACTTCCTTATTTAGTTCTTTTAGTGATACAAGGATAAGACTTTTTCAATTGTGAAAAAGGTTTTAGCTTCCAGATATCTTATTGAGTTAAATATACTATTTTGGCAGGAAAAAATTGCTAGAGTAGATCATGCACTCGAATTTATCGTTTGGTCACTTCAACGCCAGATTAGCGAAAGAAAGTTAGCCTTGCAGTTGTTACTAGAACTATCAAGAAACAATTTGGTGCGAGATTTAATTGGGAATGTTCAGGCCTGTATACTTCTCCTAGTGACTGCATTAAACAGTGAGGAAATTCAAGCTGCCAAAGATGCCGAAGAGCTTTTGGAGAATTTGTCTTTCCTCAATCAAAATGTTATACTGATGGCAAAGGCAAACTATTTTAAGCCATTACTGCGGCTTCTCTCTTCAGGTATGTATTTGTAATGGTGTTTTTATTTCTTCAATGATGAATCCAAAGGTGTGCTAGTCAGTTAATTTAGAATTTTTTACAGTGATTTAAAATTCTGATCGTCATGAAATCTGGGGCATTCATATGCAAGCATTAGTCTGACCAAAATTACCGAGTTCAAAATGTCTGACCAAAATTTACACTTCCTTGAGAAATTAACGCCCAGCAAAGGGTAATTTTGTATATGATTTCTAATTCAAATGTGTGTTTGAGGTTGTGTGTCTATGTGCTTACCTAGTAACTTTTTATCAAGATGACCAGAGATTAGTTTCTTGTCACGTCTGACTTGTAAGGATTCTTGTTAATGCAGGGCCAGAAAATGTTAGAATGATCATGGCTGAGATATTATCAGATATTGATTTGACTGATCACAATAAATTGTCCTTGTTTAAAGATGGGGTGCTGGAGCCACTTCTTCAATTTCTCTCAAACGATGATTTAGAAGTGAAAAAAGTGGCTGTTAAAGCTCTTCAGAACCTTTCAAATGTAGCAGAAAATGGTCTCCAGATGATCAGAGAAGGTGCCGTTCGACCTCTGTTAGAAATTCTTTATCGACACAGCCTATCGTTACCATGTCTGCGCGAGCAGGTTGCAGCCATAATTATGAACCTTGGCATAGCAACCACGGCTCAAGCAGCTGATCATGAGCAGATCTCATTACTGGAATCTGAGGAAGATATTTTTAAATTCTTTTGTCTTATTTCCTTGACGGGTCCGGAAGTACAGAAAAGCATTCTTCGAACTTTTCTTGCAATGTGTGAATCTCCTTCTGGTGTGGAAATACGGGCAAAATTGAGACAGGTATGCAATCCTGGAGTCTTTTAGTATCAAGAAAAATAACTCTTGACCTTATATCTGTGCATGTTTAGATAATGCAATGTCCTTTAGCACACACAGGAATATTCTTTTATCATCTTTGACTAGGATCATTTTTTGTATGGGTTTAGGAAACTAATTCAAATTACCTAGTCCCTCATATATCTAATGCTTATGTGATTTACAGCTCTCTGCTGTCCAAGTATTGGTTCAATTATGTGAGAATGATCATAATTTAGTACGGGCAAATGCCATAAAGCTGTTCTGCTGCTTGACAGAAGATGGTGATAAAAGTATCATTTTGGAGCATATGGGTCAAAGATGCATTGAGACTTTGCTCAAGATCATTAAGACCTCACATGATGTGGAAGAGATAGTTGCAGCCATGGGAATTATTTCTAATCTTCCTAGTGACCCACAGATAACTCTGTGGCTTCTAGATGCTGGAGCACTTCAGGTCATTTCTACCAGTCTCAAGGATCGGAGCAGAAATGCCTCACACCGAAGGCAGATAACAGAGAATGCTGTTAAAGCTCTCTGTCGTTTCACTGAGAAAACGAATCAGGAGTGGCAAAAGAGAGTGGCTGAAGCTGAAATTATTCCAATTCTTGTACAATTACTGATTTCTGGAACTGCTTTGACGAAACAAAGTGCTGCCATTTCACTTAAACAGTTTTCTGAAAGCTCGAGTTCCTTGAGCATCCCGGTGAAAAAACGTGGCCCTTTCTCCTGCTTTTCTGCACCAGTCATGTGCTGCCCTGTACACCTGGGAATTTGTACAGTGGAATCTTCCTTCTGCATTTTAGAGGCTAATGCTTTGGAACCCTTGGTAAGGATGCTTGGAGAGGCTGATCTTGGAGTCTGTGAAGCTTCATTAGATGCACTCTTAACATTGATTGATGGACAAAAACTACAAAGTGGTAGTAAGGTGCTTGCTGAAGCAAATGCCATTGTTCCAATTATAAAGTTATTGAGCTCACCTTCTTCCATGGTGCAGGAGAAGACACTGGGGGCTTTGGAGAGGTTCTTTCGACTAGTTGAATTCAAGCAAAGATATGGAAGTTCAGCCCAGATGGCATTAGTTGATATAACACAAAGGGGAAGCGGTAGCATGAAATCTCTAGCTGCTAGATTGCTTGCTCAATTGAATATTCTTAATGATCAATCTTCTTATTTCTGATTGCTCATCAGAAAGATTTTCGTCCTTTTACACATGTATGTAGCATTACCTGTTCTGATAATTTTAAATTTGCACTAAGTTAATGAAATTAGAATTTAATTCTCTCATATTTTCTCACATGTTTCCAAATTGAATCCCACTAGTTATTCAGAACTTTTTGGCTGGAATCAACAAGACTTGATTGTTCAATACTTGGTTTGAAACTATTGTAGTTCCTAAGATAGTGATTTGCTGGAAGAATTAAATTCATATGCTTGCATAATAAAAATGAAATCTTCAACCAGAATTTGCATATAGCAACCAATTATCATGCACAGTACAACTCAAATAAACTGCAGCTATCAACAATCATCTGTCAGTATATATTTACAGAAATAAAAACTATTCTATTGAAAAAGCAGCAGAGGGAGAGTGAAAGTAAACAAGTTTGATTAGTAAACTGGGCAGCCATCTACGGTGATCCCTTCGGCAGTTGAACAGCTAGCCAAGGGGCATCCATCTGGGTTGTTTGGATTGCTTCCCCACTATGTCAGGCCAACATTCCAGTATCCGAGAGCAAAAAAGATCAACAGTCATAAAAGCTGTCCCAGCATCAAGACGGCTAGAGAGGACATAATTATAACGTTTCCACTGTTCCGTTCGATATCTGAAAAGAACATACCCAGAGAGGAATCCGACAATAATCCAACTGGTGTAGTTCACAGCATGCAGAAGCTGGAGGCATCATTGATGTGGCACCTAAAAGGATTGGCACGTGAATGAGGTTGATCCATTGCTTGCTTGGGAATGCCTTGTGAAAAAGCCAGACAATGAGAGGGGCTACAGCCCCCTCAAAAAAGAACCAATTGAATCCTCCATATTCACCGAGGTTTCTAAAGATTCTGCGAGGTCCAACCAGCCCCCATATGACAGAAGCATCAAAAAACACCCTGTCCATGGGGCATTTCCACGGCCGTTGTCTCGACCACAAAGATCGGGAATGGCATCCATCATCCACCAGGCAGTTCCTAGGTATACAAGTATACCGCCTGCAAAGTCATTGTGTTTAGTTTTGATCATTTTATTTAATATTAAGCTTTTTGTTGCACAGATTAGAAACATAGCAGAAAATGAAAACAAAAATAAAACTAACCTGTGCCATGAACATTGATCTAGGTGGAATTTTCTTGTAGTGGACTGGCTTAAAATCTGCTAGAAACGTCAGAGCTTGAGTCATGCTTATATATCCGTACACCTTGAAGCACATATTAGCAACCGGCCGCTCCGGGTACATGCACCCTATAATGAATTCCGTAATAATGTTCTGACCTGGTTGTTGTTTACACCAAAGAGAACAAAATCACCAGGACATTATTACAGGGTTGCACTTAGTTTTAAATAACAGCCGTAATGTAACGGTTTTGAAGCATCCAGTTATCATTATTTTAGTATTATAAAAAGCCGTAATCTGCGATGGCGAATGCAACTTTTTTTCAACCGTCTGCGATTTAAAATTATCTATAACTGAACTTTGCTTGCAAATAAAAGTCTTAACAACTTTTACCTAGATTGTGGTGGCACTGAATAAGCCACTGATGATACCGATTGGCAGGGTGAAGAAAACTGCAATGGCACAAGCTAGCAAAACACCCCACCAAGGCAATTGAAGTGATTCATTGTAATACTCACAAGCAAAGATTATAGCAGCAATGTTTGGGACAAGGATGATGTAAAACCACCCTGTGGGAACTGATTCATTAGTCTTGTATGTACATCAATTTTCCTTCTGCCCCCAAAGGTCCTTTTGCTTTGCTTCCATAGGTCACTGCATATGGCAGGTACAAACAGAAAAATTAGGACACAAGACATCATCATCATCTACTGTTGATATGTATTTGATGGAGCTTATCACCTTCTATTAAAGAGTAGGACATGCATAACAGTAGCAGACAGCGTGGCAAATCCAAGGCCGCATAGCAAAGAAGGTGCTCAGATGCACTGGCCCAAACTTTGCATAAGCTTCTCTATCTAGATGAAACTTTGAATTGATAATCTTAAGCATGTTGTACTCCTCACCCTTTTCTGTAAAAAGCTTGTTGGAATATATTGAGAAGGTCTTGGCATTGTAGATATCGAGCCAGTAACAGATGGGTGTCATCAAATACATTGTGAGGAAAAATCCAATAGCAACATTGGCAGTAGCAAAACATGGACTAGCTAGTGGACTTCCGAGATAAGATGAAATTGTAGCCCAGTCAAATCCTACAGCACCTATTCCAAGTCCTTGCAAGCCTGAACCTAGTTGCTGAACCAGAACAGACTTGGAACCGAGCCAACAGACCCAAGAGAAAGATGTTAACATAGTGAAAAGATAGCCAGGCAAGACATAGTATGCAAAGCTGCATATCATGACAAGAAGGAAGAACGGACGGTTGAAAAAATGGTCATAGTCATTATTGCAAATTGTGACTTACTGTAATACTAAAATAACAATAATAAAGTGCTCCAAAACCGTTACATAATGGCTGTTATATAACGTAACAATCGTTATTTAAAACTATAAATAGGAGGCTAAAAATATTAATTTAATTGTAGGGAGTAGCAAGTATTTTTGTGAGAAGGCTTAAGCTTTTATATTGCCATATCATTCTCCAAAAATTGAAATGAATACAGCTTAGTACAGTCAGTTTTTTGGCCTTTCAAGGCTGCAATCGTTCTAAGTCATAGCTCATCATGATAGTTCCTTACCAGCTAAGAATGACATTAACCCTCCTACTCATACTATAGCAGCACATGCCTTACTTAATGTCTATAATAAGTGAAAATTCGATAACTACGTAGACGAACAATTTATAACTATGTAGATGAGCAACTAATAGACGATTAAGTCCAATAATCATTTAATAGAGACTGCAAATGCACATGTACCTGAACAAAGAGACTTGAACGAGATTAGATGGCTACCACATCTCTCATGGCTCTACCAAATGCCTCCGGAAAAGACCAGCCCAGCCAAATCCTAGTAACTGGAATTCAATGAGACGACAGCTAAAAGATCATCAGAAACTACTCTGAACTTTCTGCACAAGGCATCATGAGTATTAATCAAAACAAACAAGGCAAAGATTGTAACTAGTAGAAAGAAAAAGAAACGAACCTGAGTAGTAACCATAACAAACAAGGCAGGAACAAAAGTTAGTTTCCTCTTATAGTACAGCTTAACAGCAAAGAGAATATGAGTAGCATAAACAGTTCCGGCACCCGAATTCGCAAAGATTGTAATCAGCACATGTTCCTTGACATTAAAAGGTCCTAGATTCAATGTAAACTCCCAGCTTGTACCCTCAAAGAACATACGAGTAGTCACTTTTCTAGCCATCAGATGCCCCAATGGAACCACAGCAATCTGTGCAGAAATAGAGGAAACAAACACTGGTTGTGTCTTGTACCAGAAAAACTGGTTTACAAAGGATAGAAGGATACAAGAACCAAGACCTTTTATCCTTTCATCAAGAACCCACATTGGAGGTTCAGGCATGGTTGTGTCCTGTACCAGAAAAACTGGTTTACAAAATACAGAATGATACAAGTACTAAGACCAAGAACCCACATTCAGAATGTCAGAACAGGCATGGTGGGATCATCCGTTTTCGGCACAGTAAGGTCTACTTGCTTTACTGGACACTCCTCATCAGCCTCTATCTCCATGGCCCGAACCTCAGTTGCCTCACCCATGATTTTAAGACACAAAGACAGTGAGTGGTCCAAAACCATGCCTTTGCTCTTATATAAAACAAGAAGAGTCAAGGACTTTAAGGAAATCCTAACCAGAATTACAAAAGGAAAAAAATATTTGGAAGTGACAAAAGTCCAGCTAAGTGTGAATGCCCAGCACAACGATTCTATGAATCTCAAGAATCTGATTGGATAAGTATTGCACGCCTTATTATAGAGTTTTTTTTTTTTTTATAAGGTATTTTTAAATCTTATTTCTTATGATAGGATAATTTTAAATTTATTTTTTATAAAAAGGAACTATGCCAAATAGGAGCTATTTAACATAACTATATTGACATGTCAGTTTTTTTTTTTTCAAAAAATTAAATTAGTCTCGTTTTGTCCAAGGAATTACTGAAGAAATGACGAATAGTATAATAGCAGGAACGCCGTGGATAAGAATGAGAGTTATCCCTGAAATTTCATATCCATTTCTACTTGAGTTTCTTATCTTCTTGTTTTTTATTTATTCAATTTAATCGTTTGTTTCTTTGCAAATCGAATGGTTGAAATGGGTTTTTGTTCATTTTGTTTGGTTTAAATGGGTTTTTTTTATTCAATTTGTGTTCAGCTCCAAGTTTCTTGCAAGTTGCCATAATAATGCAAGCACTAGGGAAGTACATCCTTAAAATCTCTCGGCAACACTTCTTAGTTCCAAAGTTTCAGTGGCTTCAGGCCATACTTTCTCTTTCTTTCTTAGCACTGCATTAACTGCCATCCTTTTATGGTAACTCTAATTGTTTTTTGTTTTTTACTCTTCCTTTTTCTGGTTTTGCTGTTTTGCTTTCTGCGAGTATGTGTTTCTCTAATTCTTTGTAGAGTTTGTGAATAAATGCCTTCTAATCACTTGAATGAACTGAGAGATGAGCAAGAAGAAGAAGAAAGAACCCAGAAATTTCTTTTCCTTTTTCTTCTTTTCTATTGACAATAGTTCATACTCATGTTCGATTTTATTTTAGGCTTGGGATATCCAAACCCTACTAGTCATGATTTGGGACATGAAAATGCAATTGATGTGATTCTTATAAGGAAGAAGACCTCCTGTTTGTGGTTGCTATTCAAATACTCCGGGACTTCCCAAAAAGTTGAATTTATTGCATTAGCCATCTGATTTATCAATTTACTCTAACAGAGAACTGGTTACTGCTCAAAGAAAGCACTATGGAGGGTGTTGAACACTTGTTGTGGCTTAAAAACATCGTTTTCATGTATTTTGAAAGACTGAAAATATTACTAGCTGTTTATAACAGATTTCTAAGGACATTCGTAATTCAACAGACAAAGCTTTGTTCTTTTCTATTCTAGGGTTCTAGTTGCTGATCCAATTTGGCGATTTTGTTCCATTGATTTGTCAGGTTTAAATGGCTGTAGTTCCAGCATGCTACAAAATGCCCTATAAAGATCAGACTCTCACTACTCAAAGAGCGGTAAGGCATTGATGGGGAAATCCCTTTTCATGCCTCTCCGACTGTTGCTAACTGGAAAGCTCCACAGTCCTGAAATGGGCTCTAGCATAATCCTTCTCCATCAAGCTGGAACTCGGGGCATTGTTTCATCTCAAGCTGTGTTTGTGAGATTGAATGAGAGGTTTGAAGTACTGAGGGAAATAGACTGGGATGCATTGAACAAGAATCAACCTCCATTGGAACCTGCTGCTGCTATTTCAGCAAATTTAGAATCCATAGTTTTGATCGGCGATTTTGAACTCTATTCTTTAGGTGCTTAAACTTGACGATGTTTTGAGTGATCGATGCGTATTCTATTGAGAAATGAGCATTCATTTTTAATGATCCACCATCCTTGTGAGCCTTCATTAGAAATTCCAATTCTTTACTATGTTTATGAAACCAAGGTGTCCTAATCCAGGTCTCTGGAAGCGCAGTTGGCAAAGGAATATTATCTAATTTTCAATATCAACAAGCATGGGTGTGTGTTCTTTATTATTATTATTTTTTTAATAATTCAGAGTATTCGGACCAATTTGTGCGCATCACGATTAAGCTTTGGATCCATTGAAAGCCTAACAGATAGATAAAACATTGTGAGGATAACGGACGTGCATAGAAAAAGTCGAACCCGGATGATCATCGGATAAGTCCTCAACTGTTAGGTTATGACCTTGGTGTTAGAGCAGTTCCTGCTTCTAGGACATGTTGATGCTCTTGAAATATGAAACCTTGGTCCCAAATAATAATAAATAATCTCACTCTCTATTTATTTATTTTAAGAATTTCCAGTAAGAATCTTTGAAGAAAACAAAAGAAAGAAATGGAGGTAGCCATTGGAAGTGACCTTATCCTAGGCCAACCCTTGTGATTAAATAAAAATCATATTCCACTTAGAAAATTGGTCCCAATACCAAAATGGGCATTTGGCTATTGGAAGTGACCTTTCGGCATCTCTTAAGACATGAAAGTCTAACTAGGGCCTTATCTCTTAGGACTATAGAGTGCCCAAAAAAATTAGGATTTTCGACACAAAGTTGGTTTACACATTTAATTGCTTCATTGATATCATGATATGTTCAGATCCATCAACCACTTAACAAGAAAAAACATGTCATATGAATTACATCTTACATGTTGTTGAAAAATTTTCTCATCTCATCTGAAATATTCACTCTGTTATTTCAATTAAATTTTCCGATTATAATTTTTTGAGATTGAAATATCTTTTATTAAAATGAAAAAAAATAAAATCAAAACACTTAAAGTCACATAATATTTTTTTTATTTTGAAGTTTTTTTTAATGTATTTCAATTAGTTGCTTTAAGTAAAAAAAAAAATATTTGATCGAAAAAATTGATTAACAAGATTATTGAATATTTTAAACACTTTTAAAAATAAATAAAATATAAGTAGAACTTATATATATATATATATATATATATATATATAAGATTTTAAGTATTACAAAATGACACATAAAAATGTTTATCCTTTAATTTTAGCTTAACTCAAGTCACGTGTCCTTGTTCATGCAAACCATTTCTAACAACTAGTAGTACAAGAATATTAAATTGCTGTCACATCATATTAAATTTACATTTTTGTCTTATAGATGATTTTAGGGTTAATTAAAGATGACTTAAGTATAACTTAGTCCTCCTAGTTTAGCAAAACTATTTAAGTAATTCTTGTAGTATATATATAAAAAAATCAAATAATTTTTTAACCAACGTGGAGTCATTGACCATTCTCGTTTTGGATCGTTTTTAGCTTCAAAAATAGCTTCATTTCTCAAAAAAAATTCTCATCTTATTTACCTCTCTTTTCCTCTTTCTATTTCTAAATAAATAAATTAAAATTAAACATAAAATTAATCCCACCATGCCTTTTAAGAAAAACCACCATATCAGAACTAATTTATATTTCTTCATCGACCTTGTATGTATATCAATATTCCTTTTGGCCCCAAAGGCCATCTTGCTTTGCTTCCATATCGAAACTAATGATTGGATTATGTTAAAAATAAAAAATAAAAATTGAGAATCATTGATAGTGATTATAAATATTAAATAAGTGTTATTTAAAACAATAATATTTTTAAGTGAGGAGTATAAATTATTAATTATTAAATTTTAAAAGACAATTCAATTTATGTCTCTAATTTTTATTTGTTCATACGGTATAAAATTTAAAAATTAAATTAATTGTAATTATCAAATTTTATGTGGTGAACCTTGACTTATTGAGTGTGTCGTTTTCCTTAAAAGAAAAACCCACACACGTTCATCAAACAAATTCCTTCAGCACGTAAAAGTACATTTTGGTCATAAAAGTTTATAATTAAGGAAACAAGACCTCAAAAAGACAAGAAATTTTACAATATTCTTTTTCTATTTTTCCCTTGCAACCTTCAATGAATTATATAGGTAAGAATATCTCGATTGTTTATTAAAATCGAAAATGACACATTACCACTATTATAAAATAGATCATCAAGAACATATTATGAGGAGAAATTACCATTATAAAATAGGAAATAATATCGGGATTGTAAAAAGAAAGGATAAACCTTAGAAAACTTTCCTTAATTACTTCTAGCAAATCGATTCTTTTAGGTAAAATTGATTTGGAATTCACTAATGAAACCAATCATTATACAAAAGAAAATAATAACCAGATTATTAAAAAGAAAAATAAAACTTTAGAAATCTTTCATTAATTGCTATTAGCAAATCATTTTTTTTAGGTGAGATTAAATTCGAATTCATAATGAAGAATTAAAAACTTAACATTGCATAAGAAATCATATTTCTCAGTGAGACATTTTGGCTCCAATTTTTTTTTTTTTTTTTTCCTTCTTTCTTTCTTTAAAGATTTTGGTTCCAAAACTTCTTTGATAAGATATTCGAGGAAAAAAATATTAACAAAGAAAAATTGTAATTATAACAATTTTCAAGCTATTTCCATTTCTTTCTTTCGTTTTTTTTTAAACGATCCTTATTGTATATACTAAAAATAGTACTGTATTTTCAAGATCCACCTATATTTATTATCCATTTCTTTTTGGTTCCCAGAAAATTTTTTTTCCTCTCGGCTGTCTCTGTTGAATAAAAATTTTGCTTATATATATCATCCATATATAGTACAAAACTTCTGAAAAATGAAAATATGGAAACAAGTTGTAAATGAATAAGAGCTTTATTTATTTATTATTTTATATATATTTATTCTTGAGATTCATAGAATCCATGTGCTGACCCATTCACACTTAGCGGGTAGATTCTTTCCTTTTATTCTGCTAAGAATCTCCTTAAAGTCCGACTGCTCTTCTTGTTTTATACAAGAGCTTGTTAGACCATCCACTGTCTGTGTGTCTTAAAATCATGGGGGAGGCAATTACTGAGGTTCAGGCCATGGAAATAGAGGCTGACGAGGAGTGCCCAGTGAGGCAAGTTGACCTTACCGTGCCGAAAACGGATGATCCCACCATGCCCGTTTTGACGTTCAGAATGTGGGTTCTTGGTCTCAGTACTTGTATCATTCTGTCTTTTGTAAACCAGTTTTTCTGGTACAGGACACAACCAATGAGCGTTTCATCTATTGCTGCACAGATTGCTGTGGTGCCATTAGGGCATTTAATGGCTAAAAAACTGCCTACTCGTAAGTTCTTCGAAGGCACAAGTTGGGAGTTTACGTTGAATCCAGGACCCTTTAATATTAAGGAGCATGTGTTGATTACGATCTTTGCGAATTCGGGTGCTGGAACCGTTTATGCCACTCATATTCTCACCTCTGTTAAGATATATTACCAGAGAGAACTTACTTTCATTCCAGCCTTGTTTGTTATGATCACCACTCAGGTTTGTTTTTTTCTCTGTTTGTTACAATCTTTGCCTTGCTTGTTTTGATTACTACTCATGAATGCCCGTATTCAGAAAGTTCAGAGTAGTTTCTGATGATCTTTTCGTTGTCGTCTCATTGAATTCCAGTTACTAGGATTTGGTTGGGCTGGTCTTTTCCGGAGATATTTGGTAGAGCCAGGAGAGATGTGGTGGCCATCTAATCTTGTTCAAGTCTCTTTGTTCAGGTATACGTGTATTTGCAATCTCTATTAAATGATTATTGGATTTAATCGTCTATATATATATATATATATTACAAAAATTATAATCATGTTAATTTATAAAGAAAATTTACTTAAATATTTTGTTATGCAGAGCTCTACATGAGAGAGAGAAAAGATCGAAAGGCAGTACAACTCGTACCCAGTTCTTCCTTCTAGTCATGATATGCAGTTTTGCATACTATGTCTTGCCTGGCTATCTTTTCACTATGTTAACATCTTTCTCTTGGGTCTGTTGGCTCGGTTCCAAGTCTGTTCTGGTTCAGCAACTAGGTTCAGGCTTGCAAGGACTTGGAATAGGTGCTGTAGGATTCGACTGGGCTACAATTTCATCTTATCTCGGAAGTCCGCTAGCCAGTCCTTGGTTTGCTACTGCCAATGTTGCTATTGGATTTTTCCTCACAATGTATTTGATGACGCCCCTCTGTTACTGGCTCGATATCTACAATGCCAAGACCTTCCCAATATATTCCAACGAGCTTTTTACAGGAAAGGGCGAGGAGTACAACATCCTTAAGATTATCGATCCAAAGTTTCATCTCGATAGAGAAGCTTATGGAAAGTTTGGGCCAGTGCATCTGAGCACCTTCTTTGCTATGACTTATGGCCTTGGATTTGCCACACTGTCTGCTACCGTTATGCATGTCCTGCTCTTTAATGGAAGGTCATAAGCTCTATCAAATACATATCAATAGTAGATGATGATATTGTCTTGTCTTGTGTCCTAATTTTTCTGTTCGTACCTGCCATATGCAGTGACCTATGGAAGCAAAGCAAAAGGGCCTTCGGGGGCAGAAGGAAAATTGACATACATGCAAGGCTAATGAAGAAATACCAATCAGTTCCCACTTGGTGGTTTTACATCATCCTTGTCCCAAACATTGCTGCTATAATCTTTGCTTGTGAGTATTACAATGAATCACTTCAATTGCCTTGGTGGGGTGTTTTGCTAGCTTGTGCCATCGCAGTTTTCTTCACCCTGCCAATCGGTATCATCAGTGCCACCACAAACCAGGTAAAATTGTTAAGAAATTTATTTGCAAGCTAAGTTCAGTTATAGTGCAACCCAATCTGATTTTGTTCTCTTTGGGGTAAACAGCAACCAGGTCTGAACATTATTACAGAATACATCATAGGGTACATGTACCCGGAGCGGCCGGTTGCTAATATGTGCTTCAAGGTGTATGGATATATAAGCATGACTCAAGCTCTGACGTTTGTAGCAGACTTTAAGCTAGGCCACTACATGAAAATTCCACCTAGATCAATGTTCATGGCACAGGTTAGTTTTATTTTCTGCTACGTTTCTAATCGGTGCAAGAAAAAGCTTAACATCGAATAAAATGATCAAAACTAAACGTAATGACTTCGCAGGTGGTAGGAACAATTTTGTCTGTACTTGTATACCTAGTAACTGCCTGGTGGATGATGGATGCCATTCCCAATCTTTGTAGTCCAGACAACGGCCCGTGGAAATGCCCGATGGACAGGGTGTTTTTTGATGCTTCCGTCATATGGGGGCTGGTCGGACCACGCAGAATCTTTGGCAACCTCGGTGAATATGGAGGCGTCAATTGGTTCTTTTTTGGTGGGGCTGTAGCCCCTCTCATAGTCTGGCTTTTTCACAAGGCATTCCCGAGCAAGAAATGGATCAGCCTCGTTCACATGCCAGTCCTGTTAGGTGCCACGGCAATGATGCCTCCAGCTTCTGCTGTGAACTACACCAGTTGGATTATTGTTGGATTCCTCTCTGGATATGTTCTTTTCCGATATCGAACGGAATGGTGGAAACGTTATAATTATGTCCTCTCTGGTGGTCTTGATGCCGGGACAGCTTTTATGACTCTCTTGATCTTTTTTCTCTCGGATACTGGAATGTTGGCCTCTCATGGTGGGGAAGCAATCCGGACAACCCAGAAGGATGCCCCTTGGCTAGCTGTCCAACTGCCAAAGGGATCGTTATAGATGGCTGCCCAGTTTTCTGATCAAACTGTTTATTTCACTCTCCTTCTGCTCCTTTTTCGATTCAATAATTTTTATTTCTGTAAATATAAACTGACAGCTGATTGTTGATAGCTGCAGTTTCTTTTAGTTGTACTGTGCATGATAATTGGTTGCTAGATGCAAATTCTGGTAGAAGATTTCATTTTATTATGCAATCAAATGCAAATCACAATCTTTGGAACTACAATATTTTCAGACCAAGTATTGAAGAATAAAAAAAGTTTCTGAATAACAGGGAGGATACAATTTGGCAACATGAGAGAAAAAATGTGAAAGAATTAAGTTCTAATTTAATCAAGTTAATGCATATTAAAAAGTATCAGAATAAGGTAATGCTACATACATGTGTAAAAAGAACGAAAATATTTCTGACGAACAAACAGAAATTAGAGGATTGTTCATTAAGAATATTCAATTGAGCAAGAACTTTAGCAGCAAGAGATTTCATGCTACTGCTTCCCCTTTGTGTTATATCAACTAATGCCATATGGGATGAACTTCCATATCTTTGCCTGAATTCAACTAGTCGAAAGATCCTCTCTAAGGCCCCCAGTGTCTTCTCTTGCATCGTGGAAGAAGTTGAAATCTTAAGTTATTATAAAAATGCTAAATGAACTGACAGGCATATCTCTAGATTCATCATTGAAGAATGTCTTCTCCTGCATCGTGGAAGAAGTTGAAATCTTAAGTTATTATAAAAATGCCAAATGAACTGACAGGCATATCTCTAGATTCAGCATTGAAGAAATAAAAACACCATTCCTGAAGAAAGAAGCCGCAGTAATGGCTTAAATAGTTTGTCTTTGCCACCAGGATCACATTTTTATTGAGGAAAGACAGATTCTCCAATCGAGAATTATCCCTAAAAGTAAGATTATTTGCTGTTGACCTGTAAACAATATCAGTTCATGGGCAAGAAAGAAGAAAAATGAAGTTTTAAAGAGAGAAACGTAAAACAGAGTATGAAGTAAAAACAGTATCTTTATCTTTTGATATATATATATATACACCAAACAAAATCCCACAAAATAAGGATATTCACTCCTTTAACTAAACTTTCTACTAACGAAGGATTACAAAAAAATTCTTAAAGTATCTAGAAAATTCTCAAATTCTAACACTCCTCATTGAGAATTTTCTTGAAGACTCCAAGCCTAGATCTTAACTCTTCAAACTTGGCTTTGGAAAATGCCTTAGTTAGTATGTCAACAATTTGATTTTCGAAGCAACAATGAACCAGATTGACTTCACGGTTCTTTTCTCGCTTCTTTGATTACATGAAACTTCACATTTATGTGTTTGGTTCTTCCACGCTGCATATGATTCTTTGCAATAGCAATGGTTGACTTGTTATCAACCCAAATCATAATAGCGTCATCTTGACTTTGCCCCAAATTTGTCGGTAACTTTCTTAACCAAATTGCTTGGTTTGTAGCTATTGTTGCAAAAATATACTCGGCTTTTGCTGAGGAATGGGCCATCACCTCTTGCTTTCCGAAATTCCATGAAAAGGCTCCAATTCCAAACAAGAAAGCATAACTAGAAGTGCTCTTGAAATCATCTTTACTTTCTGTCCAGTCATTATCTACATATACTTAGAGTTCTTTACTTTCTTTTTGAACAAACCGCAAACCATAATCAAAAGTACCTCGATGTACCTTAACCATCTCTTAGTAGCACCAAGATAAGAGAAGCTTGCGAGAGAAATTAAATCCGGCTTTATAGCAAATAAGTACGTAGAGCGACCTACTAATTAGGCTTACGCAAACAAAATCATCTATTTTGTTGCTAACATCATTATTTAACAATTTCTCATTCACAATCAATGGAGTTGCCACTTGGTTTGTATCTTTCCATATGAAATTTCTTCAAAACCTCCAAAGCATACTTTTGTTGTGAGATGAAGATTCCAACCTCACATTGGTGAATCTCCATGCCTTGAAAATGTCTCATCTCACCCAAACCGAACAATTCAAAATCGCTCTCCATCCGAAACATGAATTGCTTTAAGATTTTAGAATTATAACCTGTAACCATCAAGTCATCTACATACAAGGAGACAATAAGCTGAACTTCTTCCCGAACCTTCAACACATATAGAGTAACCAAGATGAAATATTTTTATCACTAGGTTCAACTATGTTTTTCTCTCTCTTCTTAAAAAAAGAAAAGAAATTAAAAGTAACTCATATATATATATATATATATATATATATATATATATATATATAGAGAGAGAGAGAGAGAGAGTTACATTTAATACCCATATAGCAAGGATCCAAGATCCAAGGGATAACTTTAATCTTTTTTTGCATAAGATGAAGACAAGTGATTTTTTTTTTCGCGGGAGTTGTAGACCAAAATTTTTAAAATACTGAAGGAATAACTAATGATACTTACTTCATGAATTCATTTTGAGGAGAAAAACAAACACACAAAAAGAGAAAATCATATCCAAATCCATCAAAAGTGATAAGAATATTTCTATATATTTTTTATTTGTCTAGATAGAAATATTCTTATCGCTTTTGATAGATCCGAATGCGATTTTCTCTTTCTTCTTTGTCTCTATCTCTTCTCAAAATAGATTCATATATGGAGTAAGTATTAGTAATTACTCTTTAAGTACATCCACAAAATAGTATCTTGTTCTAAAAATAACTAAGAATACTTACTTTATAGGAAAGAGACAAACACAAAGAAAACAGAAAAATTAAGAATAACTAATAATACTTTATAGAAAAAAGATGTATGTCTCTTTTCTCAAAGTCTATCTATATTTATTTCATAGGAGGGAGATGGACAAAAGATAGAGAGAGAGAGAGAGAGAAACTAAAAAAAAGTGATGGATCCGAAACAGAGAGAAACTAAAAAAAAAAACAAAAAAAGTGATGGATCCCAATGTAATTTTTTCTCTTTTATTTATGTTTGTCTCTCCCCTTCTCAAAGCCTACCTATAAGAATAAATATTAAAATTTCTCAGTGTTCCTTGCTTTGCTAGAGTTGAACTCATGAACTCTCAAAGAAACAAAAAGCCACTACCACTTAAATTAGAAATCCATCGGATATCACCTCAATATTTCAATTGAGTGTTAATTGATTTCAATGAAAATGATAGTGCTTCTGCTTTATTATTATATACAGCATATAGATAGATAGATAGATGAGATTAGGTTAGATAATAGATTATATTAAGAGATTTTTTTCTCAAATATTATTTCAAAATTTATAAGATTCACCCCATTAAATGCAAGAAAATTTGGCAAAATTAACATTATTCATAAATAATATTATTCAGAATTAGAAATTTTGTTTTCCGAGCATGGTCAATTTGCTTTCCATTTCTTCTTTATTTACCTTTTTAGTTCAATACTGAGTACCTTCTCTATTACTATATATATATATATATATATATATCAAATGCTTATCTAGTCAAAATTTAAAATGACGTCCTAAAATATCCTTAATTAAAATTTATTTTCTAAAAAATTGTCCAAATACAATTTTTTTGTATGTATTTTAAAAAAGTATGAACATAATATACTGATATGATGACATACAATTAATAAATTTATTAATTTGTGTGAAAAATAAAAAAATAATTTCTTTAAGACAAAAGAAGTAATGATTAAAACTCTATCACACCAAATTTTGACACGTGTGAGATTTTATCTAAGTTTGATTAAATTTTTGGATTGCTCCATTTTATGTTATGCACCATTATAATTTAATTATTTTCTTTCCTTTTCCTAAATATTTGTTTCCTAATAAAGGTGATTCTTTAAGGTAGAGAAAAATAATGTTTAATCTAAAGAGCAATGCTACCGACATTAATTCTCTTGGATGCTCTCTTTTTAACATTATCTGGTTCGAAGTGGCCACATCATCCCTCATAAATACACTCAAGCATAACGGACAAGAATAAATCTATTTTCATTGATTCATTTGAGAAGAATCATATTTATAAGGAAATAAATACTTAGGAAAAGGAAAAAAATAATAATAATGGTATATAGTATAAAAAGAAAGAAACTAATTAAAAAAAATTATCTCACATGAAAAAAAAAAAAAAAATCTCATACATGACAAGATTTGGCATGACGTGGTATTATATCCCAACAACCCTATGCCATTAATGTACAATCTCCTTGTTAGGAATATCCGTGGCACAAAAACCTCAAAGTTATTATTATTATTTTTTTATCTTAAAAAGATTGTACTCATTTACTTTTTACACAAATTAAGAAAATTATTAATTTTTTATTACATATCATTATTTTTTATTTATATCTTTTTGAATTTTATTTGAATATTTTTTTACAAAAAGTATTTTAAAAATGAATATTTTAAGAAATTATATCATTTAAAGTTTTAATTCGATAAACATTTTAGGACATATATAAATAGAAAGGTAAATAATTTTTTTGAAACCGAGAGAGTAGTAAAAGAAATTTATTCTCTTAAAACTCATTTTTTTTGTTCATTGCTAAAATTTTAGGTTGATGGAGTCCAAAGTTGTCTTGAGTAGGGCTTTGGTTGTGATATCAATGCTGGTGCTGGTGATTTCGAGCCAAGCAGATGATCACTCAGATTGTTTGAGGAGTTGTTTGGAGGGTTGTGCCAATGATGATAACCCGAGACTTAGAATAATATGCATACGTAATTGCAATCAGGAGTGCAAGAACAAGCCATCGTCCATGACGATTTCTCCTGGCATCACCAGTATAGAGGAGAAGAATTAAGAAAATGGATTTGAGATTTCTCTTCTTTGATTTATTTCATTTGCATGTTTAGTATCATTGTTTTCCCAAGTTTTTTAGTCATGCAGATGTAATAGCCTATTCACAGGCAGAATATGATTAATAAATAAAATGAGAATTGAGAGTTTTCTCATGTTTGTCTCTTCAAAATTGAGTTTTTTATTCATGGAGATGTAATAGCCTACTGACAGTCATGTCTACACACTAAAAAATCAAGGAAGGAAAAAGCCATAAACATCATATTATTTTTCTTTTTATTTTTGTTGTCTTCTTTTTTTTTTCGTTTTAAATTCATCTTTCAACTTTTAGTTTCTAATTAAAATTCATTATTCCATTAATTTTTTAGGTGATGGTGTTAAATTGCACTATTAGTCTCACGGGAGTACAATACGTGTCAACCTAGCTATTTTTATTTTTTTGGTCCTAATCTAGTCTCTCTATTATTTTTTTTTATCGAATTTAAATAAATATTTTTTTGAAAAATAAAAATAACTATAAATACAATTTAAAAGTCTAAAATTTTAACTAAAATTCTCTTGATATTTAAAAAATACTATAAATATTTAACTTATACTCAAAATTTGCTATCATAATTTAGATAAAAAAAAAATTATCTTCACTTTTTTTAAAGTTTTTTTTTTTTTCATTTTTTAGTGCATCTATCTTCATATATTTTTTTTATATTTTTTATTTTTCAAAATTCATTTGTTTAATTTCAAGAAAAAAAAGTAGAGAGATCGACAAGATTAAGATGGAAAAAAAAAAAAAAACCAAATTTGACAAATATTGCAATCTCGCGAGGCTAACAAGTGATTTAAAACCATCAAACCAAAAAATTAACGGAAGGAAGAACTTAAGATATAAACCAAAGACAAAGGGAAAAAATTAAGACCAAAAAATAGATGAACACGATTGATAAGGATGGAAAAAAAAAAAACTCCTGCAACCATTAACTCTATTATATTTTGATCCTTAAAATCTTGTGATTGTGCGATGAAATCCTAAACCAACAAAAAAATGATGATTTTAATTTATATTTTTCTTTTTTCCCTTGCAGTTTTTAATATTTATTCAAGTCTTAAAATAGTTGGTTTTCAAAATTTATAAAGTATGCAATTATCTCTTTAATTTGACAAATGGAAAAGGAAGGAGATATATATGTACAATTGTCTTCTTTCAATTTTGTTTGTGTTAATTTGGCCAACTCTATTAACACCTAATCATGCATAATCAAGTTTTTTTTTTTTAAATAAAGAAAAAAAAAAAAGGGTGAGGCTCATACATTTTGGACGTCTTAATTATTCATTGAATCAGTACTTTTGTCTCGACCCATTTAGTTAAATATATTTATAAACGATGAATTTTATTTCGAATTTAACTATGATTCGATCTTTTTCATGTCTGAAGCAATTTTTATTAGATTAGACTTGAAATTTTTGACCTAATTAAACTTGAGATCATATTATGTTTGTGTGATTTCCTAGAATTCATACGTTGTTCAGAAGTCTTTCTTGAACGTAAAAAGAAAATAATAAAGAAAATAATTATTTTAAGAAAATAATTAAAATGTGAAAATAAAATAACTAGGTTTTAATGTGGTTAAAAACTTTTTAGTTCAATGTCTTTTTTCTTTTTTCTTTTTTAAATTCATAAATACATACATGTTCTTTTATTTATTTATTTATTCAGTACGCTTAAAAAAAAATTATAAAATTCGGTATTAATTACCGTGTGATCGCTGAACTTTCCAACTCGATCATGCAGAATCAGAAAGACGTAACTATATAGTTTAGAAAAACTGGAAAGTTAGAGTAGGATTTTAAGCAGATTCTTAGCGGAAAAATCGAAAAGTTTGCACAATCCAAGTAAAAAACTGAAAACAAGTCCACATACATGTTGATACACCAGCTGATGAGTGTCAAGGCGCAAGGATTCTATGAATCTCAGGATTCTTATTGGACTAGGATTTATATTGCATGCTACATCAAAAGTTGAAAAATCTACAAGTATTTTGAAAAAGAAAAAGAAATAACTTCCAAGATATCCTTTGTCACGTCAAATTAATTAAGTCCTTTTCTATTGATGCTTAAAGTTTTGAAAACAATTATATATATAGCCAGCGGATGGTTTTAATATTTACCAAGATAAGGTCATGGACTGGTTTAGATAAGATTTCATAGTCCAATTTCAAATCAAAATAAACGTATTATATATATATATATATATAAACGTATTTGATCCACACACATATATATATACCTGAAGCAGGTTTGATACCCTAAGATTCATGACTAAGTCAGCCACATTATTCATAGGCTAGGTCAAAAAGCAATTTTCTGTGATGTATGCATTCCATATGATTTTACCTGTGGCTAGTCTATAAAAAATGCGAGTTGATTACCCTAACTTTCGCTTATTCTGATAAGAATCTTCTTGATATCCTCCTACTTCACTGAATCTTACTTGCCTAGTATTAACTTTCGCTTATTCTGATAAGAATTGTCTTGATATATATACAGTTCCTGGACCTTTCTCTGAGTGAGTTTGTGTTTTACAGTTAATAATCTTGGCTGGGGAATCTAAGGTTCAGGCCATGGAAATTGAGGATGATCATGAGGAGAGTACGGTAAAGCAAGTAGACCTAACCGTGCCGAAAACCGATGATCCTACCGTGCCTGTTCTGACATTCAGAATGTGGGTTCTTGGTCTTAGTACTTGTATCATTCTGTCTTTCGTGAACCAGTTTTTCTGGTACAGGACACAACCAATGAGCGTTTCATCTATTGCTGCACAGATTGCTGTGGTGCCATTAGGGCATTTAATGGCTAGAAAACTGCCTACTCGTAAGTTCTTTGAGGGCACAAGTTGGGAGTTTACGTTGAATCCAGGACCCTTTAATATTAAAGAACATGTGTTGATTACGATCTTTGCAAATTCCGGTGCTGGAACTGTGTATGCTACTCATATTCTCACCTCTGTTAAGATATATTACCAGAGAAAACTTACTTTCCTTCCAGCCTTGTTTGTTATGATCACCACTCAGGTTTGTTTTTCTTTTCTTTCTTTTGGTAGGATTTTCAAATTGCAAGGTTTATTTAGCGTACTTCATATAATTTGTTTATATGTATAATGTCTTACATAGATTTTGTACCCGAATTTATTTGGATTTCTGAACGATTTTTACTATCATTGCCAGTTAGGAAAGATTAATAATCCAAATCCTGGCTTTACAACCAGGATTGCATCAAATCTGCCACGAGATGAAACTTGGTGGAAAATTCTAAGTGATTTCTGATCTTTCGGTTTCCCCTGTGAATTGCAGATGCTAGGGTTTGGTTGGGCAGGGCTTTTCCGAAAATATTTGGTTGAGCCAGGTGAGATGTGGTGGCCAAGTAACCTGGTGCAAGTCTCACTGTTCAGGTACATCCATGTATTTGCAATGTACATTAATCAACCAGGGTGGAGATTGTGCTTCTACTACTACCATGTCTGTATCTTCTGACTGATGTGAATGTATGGATCAATGCAGGGCTCTACATGAGAAAAACAAAAGGGAAAAAGGCAGTACGACTCGTACCCAGTTCTTCCTCCTAGTCATGATCTCCAGTTTTGCATACTATGTCTTCCCTGGGTATCTTTTTACAATGTTATCGTGTCTGTCTTGGGTCTGCTGGCTCGGTTCCAAGTCTGTTCTGGTTCATCAACTAGGTTCAGGCTATAGCGGACTTGGAATAGGTGCTGTAGGATTTGACTGGGCTACAATTTCTTCTTATCTTGGAAGTCCACTTGCTAGTCCTTGGTTTGCTACTGCCAATGTTGCTGTAGGATTTTTCCTGATAATGTACGTGATGACACCCCTCTGTTACTGGCTCAATATCTACAATGCCAAGAACTTCCCAATATATTCCGCCAACCTTTTTACTTCTAAAGGTGAGGTTTACGACACCCTTGAGATTATCAACTCGAAGTTTCATCTCGATCGGGATGCTTACGCGAGGCATGGGCGTGTGCATATGAGCACTTTTTTTGCCATGACTTATGGCTTGGGATTTGCAACACTGTCCGCTACTGTCATGCATGTCCTCCTCTTCAGTGGAAGGTAAGCTCAATCAAATTTATTTTCTTTAAGAGAAAGGACAGAAAACAGAAATACACATTGAACATCAAGCTGTTTGACTTTGGTCGCAAGTAAAATATTTATCAGCAGTAGATGATGATATTGTCTTTTGTTTCCTAATTTTTCTGTTTATACCTGCCATATGCAGTGACCTATGGAAGCAAAGCAAAAGCGCTTTTGGGGGTAGAAGGAAAATTGATATACATACAAGGCTAATGAAGAAATATAAATCAGTTCCTATGTGGTGGTTTAACATCATCCTTGTCACCAACATTGCTGCTATAATCTTTGCTTGTGAGTATTACAATGCCGCTCTTCAATTGCGTTGGTGGGGCGTTTTGCTAGCTTGTGCCATCGCCTTCTTCTTCACCCTCCCAATTGGTATAATTACTGCCACTACAAACCAGGTAAAAGATTTCTTAGCTAACTTCACCTATCGAGTGGATTGTCCATCATAATATGCTGAGTTTCTTCCTCTTGCCGATGAACAGCAACCAGGATTGAACGTTGTTACAGAATATATAATAGGGTACATGTATCCAGAGCGCCCTGTTGCTAATATGTGCTTCAAGGTTTACGGGTATATAAGCATGGCTCAAGCTCTAACGTTTCTAGGAGATTTTAAGCTAGGCCACTACATGAAAATTCCGCCTAGATCAATGTTCATGGCACAGGTCGGTTGTTTTTTCTTCTGTGTGTGTTCAAATCTGTGCATAACTTGAAGTACAATGTTCAGAACTGAACATAAAGCCTTTGCAGGTGGTAGGAACTCTCGTGTCTGTATTCGTATACCAAGGAACTGCCTGGTGGATGATGGATGCCATTCCGAATCTTTGTGGAGAAGACAACGGCCAGTGGAAATGCCCCCAGGACAATGTGTTCTTTAAGGCTTCGGTCATATGGGGGCTGGTCGGGCCGCGCAGAATCTTCGGAAACCTCGGTGAATATGGGAAGGTCAATTGGTTTTTTATGGGAGGAGCTGTAGCCCCTCTCATAGTCTGGCTTTTTCACAAGGCATTCCCAAGCAAGAAATGGATCAGCCTCATTCACATGCCTGTCCTGTTAGGTGCCACAGCAATGATGCCCCCAGCTTCTGCTGTGAACTTCACCAGTTGGATTATTGTCGGATTCCTCTCTGGATTTGTTCTTTTCCGATATCGAACGGAATGGTGGAGACGTTATAATTATGTCCTCTCTGGTGGTCTTGATGCTGGGACAGCTTTTATGACTCTGTTGATCTTTTTTCTCTCGGATACTGGAATGTCGGCCTGGCATGGTGGGGAAGCAGTCCGGACAACCCAGAAGGATGCCCTTTGGCCAGCTGTCCAACTGCCAAAGGGGTAATTGTTGATGGCTGCCCAGTTTTCTGATCAAACTGTGTTTTTCCACTCTCTTTCCACCTTTTCTGATATTCAGTCCTGTAAAATATATTTTCAGTTCTGTACATACTTTTGGTATTACTTTAACATTAAATTTGGAATCCTGGACTGGATCGTCCCCGAATTCTTCTCACCATCGAACGATGAGTCTCAGTGTAGGAACTGCATAGGATCCACTAGTAAAATCCTGGAGATTATTCGGGAAATCCATTGCCGGATTCTAAATTCAGGGTTATGCTAGTTTTTCATCGACCAAACTGCTGATGTTATTGATGTTTACAACTGTTGATTGAAGATTGCAGTTTGAGATCTTTTTATGAGCTTCTTTGCTCTCTGAAATAGCTGGCCAGATCAATGAATTTCCACTTTTCGTATTATTACACTCTGCTTTATAAGTATCATTTAAACCTTGCAAAAAATGTTTGATTAAGTGTAAGTGGAGCATTTTCATCTTATTTGCTGATATTCTCATTATCGAACTTTGGAAAAACACTCTTATACAAAAATATTATATTTATTTTAATAAGTGATATCGTAAATTTTTTTCACTAAAAAAAAAAGAAAAAAGAATTACATATGTTGAATGTTAGAAAAAAAAATTAAAATATATAGAGCTATGTTAGTTTCCTTTACATCTTTTATTTATTTAATTAATTTTGTTAGTTCTTTTATGTTCTTCAGTAATATATATCCGTTTGCTGCAAAAAAAAAAAAAAAAATGAAACAGAAAATTATTAGATACTTGAGATGAATTATTATTATTATATTTTTTTCACATCTACATGACAATTGCACCCATGGATCTTAAAATTTTCCTTCATTTAACAAGATGATAATAAAGCAACAAACATGGATCAAAAAGTCACAGCAAATTCATACATTCCAATCTGCATTTGATCCTACTGAAACCTAAAAGTAGTTGAATTAATAAACTGAACCAAATGCTACCTCAAAGAAATTGAATTAGCAAAAAAAAAGTTGGCTTAAAGGTGAGACCACATTCCTTCACTCCGTTACAGCAAGATCATCATTTTATTTTATATTACAGGTAGTGAAATACCTTCGGACCAGCCTTCACATCAGCCAACAGTATATCCCCACTTCCTAGGCTAGATTAGTGCCAGATCACGCCTAGCCTTCGGTCAATTCTAAGGGCAGCAAGATCATCATTTGTTCCAACCATCAAAATGACTCCCCACATTCATAACAGCAGGAACAAAAGGAACCAAAAGAATATGATGTTAATTTCTGAAAATACTGCATTGGTGGCATGTACCTTAAACGAAGCTCACAAGATGACTAACCATGAAATCGCATTCTTTATTAAACATTTCTTGATCATAACCATATCACATAAACTTAGCGGGTCCATGAAACATTATTGCTTACGATTTCAAGCGGTAAAAGAAATATCGACAATATGTTCTTGATCCTGCGTGAAAAAGAAGAACACTAGTCTTCTTGTCTATGGTGTTTCTGGCATACCATCACCAGAGAAGGTAATGACTCAGTACGAAAGTCAATAGAGGTGAATGAATCCCTTCTGTTTAGTGAGACATAACAACCCTCAAAACTATGATCCTTTCACGGATAGATGCGAATGTCGGAGTTACCTCTAGTTTGATGGCAGATACATTCAGCTGATAAAGACAGGCAATTACAGAATTTGTAGATTCAAAGGTACCGTAGTCGGAGACAAGTTTAATGCTCATCCTCAATGCTACTATATCTAAAGAACACTGTTCGGGATGAAACAAGGTGAAGCATGAACCAGATCTACAAAACAGGGATAGTGATAGACTTTCAAAGTGAAGCAGCCACATAGTTAACCTGCTTTCAAACCAACCTATTACACACTCAAATCCCCAGTAAAGCCTGCTAGCAATAGGTATACTATTAGCAAGCCTGATAGTGGTAAATTTGTTTCGACAAGAAGAGCAGAATATTCCCTAGTTTCAAAAATCACAATATGTCCCATTCTATTCTCATACCAAAAGCCTGTGATTAGACTTCGTTAGGCTTTTGGCAGGTCATGAACCTCTCATATCCAACTAAAGCATTCAATACATGAACCCACTGAAAGACATTCGAAGACTCTTAAAAGGCTCAACCACATACAAGAAATTCAAATTAAATAGGGCAGTAAAAGTTATACTCTAACCCGCAACCTGGGAAAAATTTCAGGGAGAGATTGAACAATCCAGAAAATGTATTCCACAAAGAGCATCCAGCATGCATGATGATAGCTACTTCAGATTATGAAAGTATGAAAACAGACCAAGCATGAAATCTTTTTATCTCCTAGGCAAGCCATCTATTTTTTTCATCAAGTTCAGCAAGTAGTAAAGAAAATAAATAAACTGTGTGTGCATGCACAATGTAATATGTGTGAATGTGTGCATGTATGCAGATATCTATCAATGTTAGTGCTCCTTTCCTATGCATTGTCTATGTGCACGTCTGTTATCTGTATGCAGATATCTATCAATGTTAGTGCTCCTTTCGTATGCGTTTTCTGTGTGCACATGCAATCATTTCTTCCTAATCCCAATACATAGGCGAGCGCAAATAACTGTAAGTCTTCACTTTTACACACAATCAAGCGTCCACTTGCAATAAATGGGCAAACGCAGATAAGTCTTCACTGGATCCACTAGAAATAAATTCATCAGTATCCTCCAATATGCATATGGAGACAACCTTAAGTAAATTAAAACAAATAAAACCGCAATTATATAACAGAAAGCACGCTCTGTCCAAGTCGCTAACAATAGCTGAATAATTATCGCAAAACACACGATCACGTTTATCCTACTAAAAGCGCTGATTCTGATATTTGTGTAATTCCCGAAACTGCAAGGCTGTGGTACGTCCCCATTACCATTCCCCAGTTTGCAAATCCTACAGAAAATGGTCGTTTCCATGGTTTAGCCTGATTGATCGTTTTACAATAAAGTTTCCTTACATAGCACCTGATGGCCACGAATAATAAGAGGTCGAGCGGATAAGGAAGAAAGCATTAATCACCTGCATGACCGCCCCTATTCAACGCTTGCCACGATACCCACCACCTGACCTTGCACCAGGATAGCGAGCAAATTGCAACCTTAAATGGACCGAATCACGGTCATGCTCGTCAAATCTATAACCTGCAAAATCGAGCTTGGCTATTTTACGTTGCACGACTAACCACGCTTTGAACGGCGAATTAGGGCATCAACAGATGGCGCATACAAGGCGTTGAAACCATTTATCTCAAGTACATAAACTAAAAATATACCAAACATTCATCATCACTGCTTAACACACCCAAGTCGCAAATGTGGAACACCATTCGTTTTCTGACAGACAAAAAAGGCAATGCAAAAGAGGAATGGGCCAAGGTAGCCCATCACTTCCCAAGGTATGGTCTGCAGTACCATATGCATACATTGAAACTTGGATGCGAAAAACATAATGCTGAAAGTGATGTGAGATATTGACAACATCATCATTGGATCTCGCAAAATACAGATAACCATATGGATAATCATACAGGCCTCAAGTAGTCTAGATAACCTATTTGGCCAGCTTGGCTTAAAACCCATCAAGATTTGACGATGAACTCAAGTTGGTTTAAAGTAGTCCTAGAAGTACAGGAGGTCAAAATGGCACAGCTATTTGATCAATCCATCTATACGATCAATCAACTGCCCAGACTTTCAAGAACATGCATCTCTAATGCATTACTACCATTCAACAATCTCAAAGTTAGCACATCCCTAAAATATCTTTACTTCCATGCAGCAGTGAACAACCCCCCAGAGGAGGGGAAAAAAAAAAGGAGTGCAAAAAGAATCGTACATTATGAAAAACTAGCATGGAAAAGGAAATGTAAGACAAGTAAAAGATATGATGCAACGGGTCCATATGTTAACTGATATATGAGACTGAGACTTCCCGTAAGGGGAAAAGATGCTGAGCATGTTAAGCTCACCTTGTAATGCATCCATGGCAGTAGCGGCATGTGCAGGACTCAAAAAGTCAACAAAACAGAGTACCAGCGGATCTCCCCCAGGCTGCACGTTTTAACAATCAGTGAATTCATTGATGCGCTCAAATATTGGCCCAGCACATACTAAAATAATGATATGGATAATGATAATCATATTAATAAGAATAACTACAAGAAACAGACTCACATGTCTTGATTCCTTGCTCACAAGTCTCACTTCTTTGTAGCCAACAAAAGGGCGAAAGATATCTGTTAACCCCAAGTGAAGGAACAAAAACAGAAGGGAAAAGGTCCAAGAGTACTGGAATTATATATGGAAGGCTAGGAAACAAAACTAGAAGGGAAAAGGGCCAAGCAATACTGTGATTACATATGGAAAAAATGAAAGGATACGGGACACTTCTCGTCGTGTACAGTCGGAAGGCAAACCCTCCACAAACAATGTGCTGCTAGCATCAGGAGGAAGGGAAACCTCAGATCTTCCGCTTCCCATACGCATTGACCTCTCTTTTACACTAGACCCTGGGTCCATGGGCCCCATACTCACCATACGTGGATCATCGGCAGGACGACCAGGCATCCCACTTATGGTTCTAGCAGACTGTCCCCCACTATAAGATGAAATTGTCTGAAACATTCATTCAACTACTCAGTTTTAATCAGGAACTGAACAAGAAAGATAGAATTGAGTTTAAAAACATGACACAAGACCACCATTGTTAGCGGCATTGTCAACGACTTTAGCCGCTAACAACATGTAACTTAAGAAGAATTTTGAACATAATTACTTTTAGAATCTTTTGTGGGTATATATTGTTTTCTTATCAAATCCAGATTATGACTTGGTTTTGGCATTACAACATTTGGCTTCATTTGTTGTACATTATTCAATGCCTATATAAAAGCACTGTAGCAAGACATTCAACATAGACTACCATTGATTGGTCAAATAAACTGAAGTATCATATGTTCTTGGTTAGGTGATTTTCGCACCCTTTTTAATCACTTTATTCTATATGAAAGAGATAAGGAATAACCAAGTACCCCACTACGCAAGTAACGGTCATAGGATGCTCCGATGGAGTCCGAATCTCTAATTACATGAAGAGATCCTCTATCATCATCACGGGAATAATAATTGGATAGGTCACGGCCACTGGGTACATCTACAAGATCAAACGTGTATGCCAACAAGAAATAAAACATCAGAAGAAATTGAACAAAGGAACATACTACATGAAAAAGCATAGCAAATAGTATTAACACATGAGGGAAAATAAAACAATCTATAGAAAAGAAAACGGTAATAAACTGCTTTTTTCGAGACAGAGAATTCAACAAGATCCATAGATTACTACATTGCAGACAATTAACTTGCTGAAATGACTAAGGCCGCACCAAATAGGCCGAAAAGAAACACAGAAATCCACCAAAACTGAGACTATTAAATAATCCAGTTAAAATGTATAGGAAATAGTAAATCAAAAAAACATTATAAGAGAAAACAAAATCCAAGAAAGAAGATTTCTTTTTCTTCAATATAAACCCAAAAGACAATAAATTATCCAAAAACATTAATTTCCCATGTTATACGGTACCACTATCATGAAGTCCTCTAAAACCAACAGCAAAATTAATGAAAAAGATCAAGCCTTTCAGCTGCCCTTTCCTTTCGAAAATAACTAACACAAAGCTTTCTACCCCATTACTAAAACCCATGATTAAGCAGGCAGTTATACACATAAACCAAGAAAAATAAGGCACAAAAGGTTAAAAGAAAAAAAAATACCTAATTGGATTACAAGCAGGAAAAAGTAGAAGCTTTAAGAGAGAATTGAACAGAAATGAACAGTAATTTTGGAATAATACCGTAGTCAGAGCGAGGGCGTTTTCCGGTGAGAGAAGACATAGACTGCGGTGGCGGCTGCCGTGAGTCGCCGGCGTATCTCCAGTAACTATCCGCCATTTCTAATTAAAGAAAGAGAAAGAGAGAGCGGGGATTTTAAGACAGAACTGACACTGGAATTGAAATCAACCAGAACATTAGTTCAGTTGGATACGAGGAGAGGTAATTCCATCCAATCCATAAATCATTCACCTTTCGTAGGCTGTAAATGTCGGGTTTTTGCCTTGGATGAACTATATTTTCACCCTTGAGTTTGGATTTCTCAATGTCATCCTTGATGTTTCTTTATACTTCCAATTTAAACCCTGACTGCTATATAATAGTTATATTTTTTTCAATAACAAAGTATTACGAAGTCAGTTTATGCGTTAATTGAGACTAAATCTATTTTTAAAATATCTTAAGAATACGAGATATTTTGAACCTAAAAAATTAAAGAAAAAAACAAATTTTCATAACGATAAAGTCAATCTATTAAAATTAATTGAATGTTGTATAATAGTAAACTTATTTTTTAATTATTATTTTTTAATTTCTTTTAAAAATTTTATTTATATTAAAAAATTTAATTATGATGTAGAAATATTGTCAAAATTATCCTAAACTTACTTGAAATAGAAAAATAATGGGTTTAAAGATCTAAAAAAATATTTGTGAGCCATTTTTTCTTTATTTGTTTTTCATATGGATTTGAGATCAGGTAATGATACTTATTTCAAACATTTAAACAATTTTCTTAAATATTACTTTATAGGTTCAAATTCTAGTAAACTAATTTTGCTAAGAGTTTTGAGTGTGTGAGTAAAAAAAATAAATAAAAAAATACTACTCCATATGTGAAGACTTTAGGAAAAAAATATAAAATAAATCCATAAATGTTGAAAGGAAAAATGAAAAAGTAGGCACATTTGGTTTTAGATTCCATATTGGAACATTTTGGAAATACCAGAGATGACAATGAAAATTTTGGAATATAAGTACCAAAATAGAATATTAATAAAAAAAGAAGGACCAAAATATAGTTTATCCTTTTCTCTCCCCAATTTTTTGGAGGATGCTTGTTTAGTTGGTACAAGACACAATTCCTACCAGTCAACCATGGATTTCAGCTGCGGCACGTTAGGGTTTAGTTGATAGTGATTTTACAATTTTTGAGTAGAAATATTTTAAATCTCACGACGACATAAATGTAACTAGTTATTTCTATATCTTATTATACATAATTAATAATTTTTCTTGCTAAAAGTTTGAAATAATTTATTTACCCTTTCATGTTTAGTCCAAAAAAAGAAAAAAAGAAAAATAATGCTCCAATTTGACTAATTAAATGCTCATTTAAATTCTTATTAACAGCAAGACTTGATTCATTAAATGAAAATTTAAATGGATTATTTTCACAATTCAAATACGACGTATACTTGTTCAATTATTGAAACAATGAAAGTTCAACTAATCATTTAACAGTCATCCTGTTGAGTCATTAGTTCTGATACCACTTGATGTATAGATCATTTTCAAACTATCAAACTAGCTTTTGTGCTATTTTATTTAGATAATAATTAGTTTTTTTATCCATGTTATGTTGTAAGTCGAACAAAATATATAAAATTATTTTTTAAAAAATTGGTTCATTTTGATATCCTCTCGTTATATTATACGTCTCTCAAAATATATCAAATCAAAATTGAATAAAAATTTATTTAATTTTATCATTTTCTAATCAAAATTTTATATTTGACTAATTATTCTTTATATTTTTCATAAATTTTTTATTAAAAAAAAATTATTTAGGTATCTCTATCAACATTTTTAGCTAAAATTTTATTTTATAAATTGTTTTCTTCTAAACATCTTTTTGCTTTAAATTTTTTAATTAAAAAATTTAAAAAGAAAAACGATGATCACAATGAACAAAATAAAATTAAAAAATGAGATTAAAATAAAATAAAAAATATTTATGAATTAAAAAATAATATTAAAAAAATTAAAGTATAATGTCATTAAAATTTTTATAATAAATATCTTTAAAATATTTGAAAATTATAAAAATATTATTGAATCGTAAAAGTAATAAGGCATCCGAGTCAGGATGAATAATATGAATAAATTTAGATAAATAATATTTTAAATAATATAATGTATAGTAGCTAATGAATTTAGTTTAGTTTTTTTTTGTACTCCGATCAAGATTTTTCAACATCTCTTGTGACCTTGTTTTGGGGGGAAAAAGAAAAAGAAAAAAAGTATAAACTCTATTGATGTTACCAAGCAACCTTCTGAGTGAGGACATAAAAGTCAACCACTGAACCCATTTGGCAGACAAACCAGGCATTGGCTTATTATAGGCAGATTGATGTTGAATTATAAGTAAATTATTCTTTAATCCCTACATTTTTACCATATTATAACTTAGTCCCTGTTGTTTGAAAACCTTAACGTGATGCCTTGATTCTTGTCAACCATTGTTCCATTAATAAAGCTGTTGGTTTTTACCATATTATAATTTTTCCAAAATTGTCGAGAGCATTTTTGTCAATTTTCTCATTAGCTGATAATGTGGTCGTTATTCTCAGAATATCCAATTATAATTTTATTTTTTTAAATAAAGTACATAGATTTTAATTTTTTTTATTAAGTATATTCATTAATTGATGAAGTATTCAAATACCAAATTATATATTTTTTCTTTTTTTTTTTTAAGAAACTTTCTCTTTAAATTACCCTACCATTTTAAAATTCATCAAAGAATTAAAAAATATATTTTTTAATTATAAAATTTTGAACTAAATTTAGTTAGACTAGTTGTGAAAAAAAAACCAATTACGTTTTAGGTATGAAAATTTTTTTAAAAATACAAATCAAAGATTTTTCATCGAGAAGATTCATTTATGTTTTATTTCAATTTTCACTCTTAAATCTAACGGAGTTTTTTTTTTTCCCCTAAAGCAACCCAACTAAGTTTAGTTTAGAATCTTATAGCTAAAAAATAATTTTTTTTAATTATTTGTCAAATTTTAAATGGTAAAATGATTTAGAACGCAACTTCCATTTAACAAAACGAAGATGAAATTATAATTTCTTATTCAAATACGTCATCAATTAACAAAAAAAAATTGATAAAAGTATTTGATTGATATTTTTTAAAAAAAATGTATTCAAACAAAAAAAATTAAATTTTATATACTCAATTGAGAAAAAATAAAATTACAACTCGGTATTTTAAGAGTAACGAACATGTCATCAATTAACAAAAAAATTAACTAAAATATTTCATTGACAATTAAAAAAAAAAACTAAAATACTAAAAAAATTAAAATTTGATATACTCGATTGAAAAAAAAAGTTGAAAATTAATGTATATAGTATAATTATCCTTTTAATAACATAATGGGCAACAAGAGTTCAAAGGACTAAATTATAATTTTTTAAAAATGAAAAACTAAGCTATAATTAATTTCAAAATCCAAGAACTAAAGGCTAATTTACTCTAACGTTATCCATAGTCTTTGGTCAATTATTATTTTTCGCCACCTAATCTTCAATTTTTCAATCTGTCCTTATTTCTTCCACCTTTTGCTTCGAACTTTCCCTCTTACCACTGTTTATCAATCTGTCCTCATTTCTTCTACCTTTTGCTTAGAACTTTCCCTCTTACCACTCTATAAATTTGATCTCAAGACACTGATCATATCCTTCTTGTACTCTCAGCTTGTTGTTCTTTTGTACTCATCTTTGGACCATTTATTTTGGGTCATCCTTCATGTTAGAAGATCTAATTTCTTTTTATTCTTAAATTCTCTATGCTTGTTTAATTACATCCCAATAACTCTGTGTCTTTGTTGTTAATCTTTGCAGCTATAAATGGCGGAATCCGGTGACCGTCCCTCGTACAGCTGCGGGAATTGCAGAAATCCTCTTGCCTTCCATAGTGATCTACTCTCTAAAGCTTTTAAGGTGACAAATTAACAACTTATTAGACTATTAATTCTGAACCAAAATCTGATAATATAATCCTGTAATAAGGTGAAAATTTTTATTAATTTGGTGGCTAGGCAAAATCAGGACAGGCATACATGTTCTCTCATGTGATGAACGTTGTTCTGGGACAAAAAGAAGACAGGCAGTTGATCACTGGGAAGTACACAATTGCCGGTATCTTCTGCAGCAATTGTCGTCAGGAGTTGGGTTGGAAATATGTGAGAGCTTTTGATCCAGCTCAGAGGTACAAGGAAGGGAATTTCATAGTTGAGAAATTGAAGCTTGCAAAGGAATATTAATTATTCACAACCAGAGTCATGTCATGAGAAAGATTCACTGTTCTAAAATATGTCCCATATGGGGAGATTACGTGTTAATTTGCATTTAACTCTCGCTGCTCAAACTTTATACGTTTGATTAATATTAAGTGAAATAATTGAAAATATTTGGGTTAAGTAGTTATGCTTTTTATATCACCGTTTACTAGTCTAGATATAGACGTTTTCTCGATCGAATAATAAGTTAGTCTCGCTAAATGGAAACTAATTCGGGAATAATCTTACTATAACAGACGTAAAATGAGAGATTAAAATGAGGAAAGCATATTAGGATATGAAAATCTTGTGATTAAATTTTCTATTTAATATTTCAGCATCTTCCCCCATCATAATCAAAGTGACATTGTGACAATGACAAAACAATGGGACGGTTTGATGTCCTTTGGTAAGAGAACTTAGGTAATTAAACTTTATATTTTATTATTTAAAAAAAAATTGAACGAAAATTTAATTTAATTTAATTTTTTTTTTTAACTTTTAACTTAAGGATTATCTCTTATGTATACTACATTTTTTTCTTTTAAAAATGTTTTTAATCATTTTTGCTAAACATACTTTCAACTTAAATTCATTTTAACTTGTTTTTGTCTTAAATTATTTATGAAAAACAACTTTTAGATTATGACTCAAAGTGAAAAGTCATAGGCCCAAAGTTATGCCAAACCGACCCTTTATCCAATGTGTACATAAACGAATTAAGCTTTATCTATAATTTTTAATTAAAAAAATTGATGGAAAATAAAGAAAACAACAATATATCCCACAAATTTATATATATATAAAAAAAAATCTGAAAAAAGCACAAAGATTTAATTAGTTAGGATTATATTAACATGATATATATTTTCCAACCTAAAAAAGAAACATGACATATATACTTTGTTGAGTAACCCTAAGAAACTTGAGAAATATATATAATTAGGCCATAAACAATGATGTTTGCTGGCATTGATCAAATGGACATGATCCATATACTACTTGTTATACTATTTGTAACTTTCTTAGAGCTAATTGCTGTGTTGCTTTATGAATTTTGCTTAAAACCCATTTTTAGTTAAGTTATTGTATCATGGCTTCATTGATTAGTATACATTAATTACTTGCTGGATTTTTTATTTATTTATCTTATTATCATTTGATTCTACTTAAATTTGTCCATCTTAATTTGTGAAGGTCGAAGAATTTAAAGAGTTGTTTGTTTGCATGCTTTATTAATTGGTTCTTCTGAAGAACAAAAACGCCAAAAAGAAAGAGGCAAAAAATTATGTAACCATATTGCCAGGTAATTAAACCTAAATATTTCTCTTAATTTACTTAATTATGGCTTAATTTTCAAGCTTTTTGTTTTGTATTTATCATCAAATTAAATAGGATAATAGTACTCATGGGTGTCTTTGATTAAAATAAAAAGAAGAAAAGAGATTTAAATCAAATTAAGATCGTTAGATTGTGGGCTCAACTAAGCCTGCATATTTTGGGCCAAATATTAATAGAAATTAATTTCCATGCCAATGAATGTATTGTATTTACGAATAGTTTTGCTGTGAACAAAATAGGGTTTCAAAAGAGTAGTCAAAGGAGTTTATCAAGAAGTATTTTCTCTCTTTTTTTTAATCAGAAAATGACTCATTAATTTGATAGAAATTAGTTATAAAATTATCAATTTGTCACTGCTTTATAAAAATTGGACCTTCCCTTTATTGCATCTCAATTAGCAATTTGTTCGTTTTTCAATTAATTTATATAAAATTTTTTTTTTGAACAAATACTATTATAATTCTGATGAGCTATAATTTAGATTATTGTGATATTTTTATTTTCATTTTCTAGAAGGAATGTTTTGAGTTTTGTGTACAGAATAAAGATAAGAGACTTCATCTATCAGGTTTCTTTTTCTTAATCATATCACAAATGATAAGGATAATGACCTTGATTATATCCGATTTTCCATTCATCCTTTCCAGCTTGTCTTTTATGCTATTTTATTCAGTCAAAAAGATGAGTATCTTTCTGTATCTTCTTTTTTTTTTTTCCCTTATAATCAGACAAGTAATAACAGCATGCATCAACAAAGTTACCTAGTAATTTAATTGCCACAGATAGTCAAAATGATGACATCAATATATATGGTGGTCCAACGTATGGATTTTTTTAATTAGCCTCGTGAATACCCATTATTCTTGACATAAAATAACAATTATGATAATCGATATCGTTAAAATAATTCATAATAATTGATATAGTGAATATGCAATCGTTAATAAATTTATTTTAAAATAAATTAATAATATATTTTTAATTTATTCTTAATATATATATATATATATATATATATATATATATATATATATATATAATTGTAGAAAGTAGGACATAATTTCCTCTGTAATTTTATTCTTCATATTTCTATAAACTTTATCAATATCAAAATATCAAAACTTCAAATAGCAATTTTACTTCTACGTATCCATTGTAAATTATTTTATTTGACATACACGCATTTGTTTAAATCCTGCGTCTTAATTGTCTTTATATAATATAGAAATAAATAATTATCTTTATATATATATATATATATTTTTTTCTTTATTCACTAAACATCAAAAAAATTGGTAATAATGCTGTTATCGACGTCATATATATATAATGAAAATAGACATGATCGAATCTGCTAGATAACATTCATAGCAATGGTTATTTGAACATATAATTCTATCAACCTCTCATTTTCAATTCTTCTACTACTTCTTCGGATTTGGGGTTTTTTTTTTTTTAATTCTAAGAACTTTATAGCTTTAGTTTCTGGATCACAGTGATATCAGATACCCTCGATCAATATACAATAAGGGTTTTTGAAACAATAGTTTGCCTATAAATCTATGCTTTTGAAAAAGTTATTAAAAAAGCATCATATATAGTTTCATTGAGTTTACAAATCCATGGTTTTGAAACAAGTTAAATCTTTCGAAGTCTGGTTTTGGCAAACTCGACCACAATATCAAACAAGTTCTAAACATATGCTTCTCACTATTGGGTCATCCTTCATGTAAGAAGATCTGATTTTCTTTTCCATTTTAACGTTTTCAACCTCTATAATGCAAGTTTAGATATGATTTATGTCTCGGTAATTTTCGTTTCCTTTGGTGTTTAACTTCAGCGATCCAGCATTATTCAGTGCTCATCCCTTATACAGCTGCACAAATTGCCAAAATCCTCTTGCCTTCCATCACGATCTCCTCTCTAAAGCTATTAAGGTGACTAATTAAAAACTAATGATTTTTAATTAATGTATCTAACTTAAATATTTATAAAGAAAGGTTGTCCTTTTTTTAAAAAAAAATTGTTGGTTGCTAGGCAAAATCAGGGCAGGGATACATGTTCTCTCATGTGATGAATATTGTATTGGGACCAAAGGAAGACATGATAATGCTGAGTGGGATGTACACAAATTCTTGTATTTTCTGCAGCCATTGCCGTCAGGAATTGGGTTGGATGTATATGAGAGCTTTTGATCCAAAACAAAATCACAAGGAAAATTCGTAGTTGAAAAGTTGGAGCTTTGTAAGGAAAAGAGAGAGCCTTCTAAGGAAAAGTTGGACCTTTCTTAGAGAAACAAGAAAGGTTTGTATTTGACCAATTCCCATATGGGAATTAGGTTATGTTATGGTGTGAGAATGTTGATCTATTTGATCAATTGTTACTTGTCATATTTCTAAACTCTAAGAGGGGTGTTTCATGATGGGGTTGGACGTCTTCAATCTTGAACCAAAATATTTTGGTAATTTATGAAAATAATTTTAAATTTTATTTCAATTATTGTTTGAATTTTTGATGTTGTTGGACTTTTAAAATGTCTTTTGATTGTTTTTGCATTAGGAAGCATTTTGATTTGAATTTTTCGAAAGCTTATATATTTAAAAAAAGATAGAAAGAAATTCGTTAACGCTTTGGGAAGTATATTGTTTTTTTTTTCCACTTATAAAATAACCTTCTCGAAATTTTTTCTCTTTTAATTAATCGTAAATGATATTTTTTGAAATAATTTCTATATCTATCGGAAAATAATATAAATTAATTATTTGAGTTCAAATCTTATTATTCTGTTTCAAGTTCAAAAGATTTTTTTTTTTTTTACTTGATTGTTTGTTATTAGTATAAATCGTGAGACTTTACCTAACGAATGGAGATTAGTCAATAAAGGCTAATCTTGGACCGAAAATGGTCATCCAACTCCAACCAATTTTTATCTTGTTTTGTCACTGTCACTAGGTAAAGATTAAGAAGATGCTGTGGGCACAAATTGCTGGAATTGATATGTATGTAACCTTACATATTCATAAATAACTGTCCAAATCATTACCATATTAATATTGCCAAAATCGACTCCAATTTGACGATTTGCCAAGTTCGGTAGAAAATCTGTGCCCTAACCAAAATTGAAGATGAAAAACGAGTTGACGTATGACCCGCAACCTCGATACTTGAGAACACAAATGTTTGGCTTGTATTTCGATTTTCTTGGCTGTGATATTGAGCAAATCATTTGTGCCCACAGCATCTTTTTAATCTTACCTGATAAAATTGGTTCGAGTTGGATGGCCATTTTCGGTCCAAGATTAGTCCTTATCGACTAATGATTTGTAATATTGTAACACACACACATATATATATTTCGTTGAATCTTTTTATGCTCCATGACTCTTTCTACGACAAGGTTGAGCAGAATAGCAGAACAAGTATTAGAAGCATAGCAAAAAAATTGTTTTTTGTTGTTAAATTGATATGTTTGCTTGCGGTAATTGTGACCTCATAAGAGAGGGATTTATGATCACAAAAAAATATAGGTGAAATGGTAAGAAAAATCAAGAGTTGAATTCTAGTTTGAAAAATGGAGACTAAGTTTTATTGATAAAAAAAAATTAATCAAAAAATATGAATGGTAACTCTTTATGAATTTTAATTTTATACGAGTATTGAAAATTAATAGATTGAATTATTTAATAATATCTTAAATAAAATTTTTTTCATTTTATGATTTCAGATCCAAATTAAAAAAAAATGTGAGAAAATTTTTTCATAACTTAAACAGATACTAATTATCTAATTAGGATGATTATCAATAATAGCATTTTATGAATTTCCATTGATCCAAAACATTCCTTGCTGACTTTTTGTAATCAATGATGGCACTATTGCAGATATTCTTAGATTATAATGACAACAAGGTCATTTTGCATTAATTTCGTACACTTACACGCGCGTCGTGACGTCTCAAACAGAGAGCTTCTCCAAGCGCTAACAAGAATGGTCTCAAAAGATGCTCTCCCACGCGCTATCCGAGGCGCCTTTTCCCTTTGTCGACTAACTAACGCCATCTGTGATTTGCGAAACCACTAAAACTTCTATAGTATTACACTTCAGGCCTTCAAGTTTAGAGTTTTGTTTTTTTTTTCAAAACTTAATTCTAAAAATTATTTTCTAAAAAGATTCTCTTGACTGAGTGGATTCCACTTATGAATACTATTCATTGAACAAATGCAATTTTCTGACGTGTTATTTTGAACATGAACTTCCAATAAATAAGATTTATTTTAATTTCAGCATTTATGATATTACTTTTGTCATCATAATTGTAATTAAAATATATTTTAATCTATTTAAATTGATGAGTTATTCAATATATAGACACGTGGTACATTCTAGTTTTTTTTCTTTCAAAAGTAAAATTAATAAACGATACTAATATATATATGATGAAGAAAATATACTTTAATTAATAATAATTTATATAATGATAATAAAAGTTAATAAAAAATATACTACAACTATTAATTTGAATTATGAAATCCATTTAGAGAGATTTTGCTAATTTTAAAGGAAAATATGAATGCAAAGGAGATAGAGAAATTTAGAGAGAATACATTGGAGAAATAGAGTTATCTATTTAGTTAAGAAAAAGAAAATGTATCTATAGAAGGTGTGAGATTATTTTTGGATCAAAAGGCAAATCAAGTTATATTTTATTTAAAATTATTTTTTTGCATTAAAAATTTTCATATGAATTTATTGTCTCTCACTTTACTTTCTATTTATGAACAAAAATATCCATATGTCCTTTCTAATTTTCATTCCACTTGAGTTCTCCCTCCAAAATCTGCCATTTTAATCTCTTTACAATTCCATCTTTGATTTGAACTAAAAACATTGAATTGGAATCTTACTTTTAAAATCTATAGAAGGTGTGAGATTATTTTTGGATCAAAAGGCAATTCAAGTTATGTTTTATTTAAAATTAGTTTTTTTTAATCTTTTTTTGTATCAAAAGATTAATTTTAATAGCCAACATAGAAAAAAAATTCAAATGAATTTATTGTCTCTCACTTTATTTTCTACTTCTCAGCAAAAATATCCACGTATCCTTTCTAATTTTCATTTCACTAGAGTTCTTCCTCAAAATCTGCCATTTTAATCTCTTTATAACTCCATCTTTGATTTGGACTAAAACATTTAATTCGAATCATACTTTTAAAAGAACACAGGAAGTTTTCAAATTTTAAGGATGAAAATAAAACACCTAAACAATTACAAGGTTGAAAATATTCTTTACCAACTCATTTGCTATATTTGGAGGCAACCACCCACCATGATCATCAGCTCAAAATATTGCACAAAATCCTCTCTCTCTCTCTCTCTCTCTCTCTCTCTCTCTCTCTCTCTCTCTCTCTCTAGGCTTTCATCAACTCGTAGACTAGACCACTCAAAAGCCATGAACCCCAAGTCACAGTGGTCAGGTTAGTACTATTTTGCTTTTCAACCAAATAGACAGTTGTACAATTTGCCTACTATCTTAAAGAAAAAACCTTTCTTTTATCATTTCTTGAGGCTGAAAGTTGTCAGCCATGATCAAATAAAATTCTAAGTACCATCCACAAGTAAAGAATATAACCTTTCTCGAGTTACAGAGGTCTATGTCCAAAGTTTCTACCTTTTACCTTTGTATTTCTTTTCAGAGTATAGCATTGTTAGTGAGTTACAGTAATGATAGTTTTTAATTGTATATTTTTGATGTTCTTATTGTTTACTATTTCAATCCAATCATTGTCCCTATCAACCCCACATTTTTTTTCTTTCAAAAATGTAATACGAACTTACTTGGAATCTACACACAAACTTTGGTCTAAGCTTGCACGCTAACACTATTTTTTTGGCTTATCTTTTTGTGTCAGACTTTTGGGCCATCATTGAATTTGTTGTAGGTAAAGAAACCTGTGCCTTGTGGTTTTTAACTTTCTCTCTTTACTCATGTTTTGATCCCACAAGAGTAAAGACTACAACTTTTGGTTAAATATCAGCTCTTGGGTTTTCTTGCTGTGTGAGCGATCAATCTTGGATTTATTTGTTTTTTCTGTTTTGTGTTTGTGTTTTCCTGGTGATCAGTAAGGTGTTTAGACCTTGAAATTGTTGATTGATGGCGGAATTGATGGGTCCAAGGTTGTACAGCTGTTGTAATTGTCGAAACCATGTTTCACTTCATGATGATATAGTTTCTAAGGCTTTTCAGGTGAATCACTTGAATCTTTGATGAAATTGTTGCTCAATACTTTCTTGTAGCTGTTCTTTTTATCATAATTGGCAGTTACTTATTCTTATGTCTTGACTTTCCCTTGATGATTATGAAATTTGGTGATCGGTAGTCCCTTATTCATATGCGATTTAGATTTTCTGTGTGATTTGTCATTAGGTTGAAATGGTTTCTTTTTATCAGAGAGAGAAGTGATTTCGATTATTACCTATCAATTATGTTCTTAGTATTTTCTCTCATCCATTTATGGAAACCTAGGTAGAAAATCAGGTGATTACTGTAAGAAAGTCTTTGATGAATGCGTTGTCTTGAATATTGTAGAAAACATAAGAACACTTCTCATTGTTTTATGTTTCTAAGCTTTCTGTATTCAGTTCAATCTTAGAATGCCAGTTTTATCAAGTTATGATGTTTTTATACTCTGGTAAACATTGGAATTATATAGCATATTATGATAGGAAGAATTTTGTCCAATATTCTCTTCCATACTTTTATTCATAGGGAAGACATGGTCGAGCCTTTTTGTTCTCTCATGCGATGAACATTGTCGTGGGACCTAAAGAAGATAGGCATCTCTTGACTGGTCTCCACACTGTTGCCGATGTATCTTGTGCCGATTGTCGTGAGGTGTTGGGTTGGAAGTATGAAAGAGCTTATGAGGCGTCTCAGAAGTACAAGGAAGGGAAATTCATATTTGAGAAGTTAAAGATCGTTAAGGAGAACTGGTAGCATCCCACTAGGGTCCTAGCATTCCAGTGTTTGATTCAGCTGCATTGTTGCGTGGTGATGTTCATCTTGTACAGAAATTTATCAGCTAATTCAAAATTGTCAATCGTTCCTCCTGGTTCATTCTTGCCATGTTCCATTTATGAATGATAGTTGGATTCTCGATTTCTTTGTTTAATCTACCTGAAAAGGTTAATGGTGTGATTGCTCTCTGTTCAATCTCACTAGTTGGTAGCTATTAGTATTAGATACAAGACTGCTCTGGTTTCTTTGGAATCTGGCAAAGGTTTGGTTATCACCTTCCCTTGGCCATCTGCAATTCTAATCTGAGATTAGCAAAACAATAAAGTCCTGGATTACTGGCTATCCTTAGGTTTTACATGCTTGTCTGGACTAGGTGATCTTGAAGAGACAATGATGCAGAAGTTAGAACACATTTCTAATGAGGTTTTACAGAACTTGAATGTTACCTCTCATAAAAAGGAGGTTCCAGGTCCTCAGATGACAGTAATTGTATTCTCACATGCTATACAAAATTGTACAATGCCGGTATAAGTATCGTCATGCTAGCTTGTTGTATACTTACATTACCCAAATACCATCCCTGTTTTCATGTGAAGGGCTATGTTATCTAAAGTAGCATAAATCTCTTCTGCTCTCTGATGAGATCTGTCATGGGCAAGAAAGGAATGAATTTCATTCCTGTCCTCGATCCAACTGCATCCAGGGCTCTTGTGGATTCCCCTATCCTTCATCGTGCCTCTTATTCTTGCTAGGTCAGACCATCTCCTTGCATGAGCATATAAATTAGCCACTAGTACATAATTTCCACTATTGTTTGGCTCCAATTCTATCAACCTCTCTGCTGCAATTTCTCCCAACTCAATGTTACCATGAGTAACACAGCCTCCAAGCAAAGCACCCCACAGAACTGAATCAAATTCCACAGGCATTTTCTTAATAAGCTCATAAGCTTCATGAAGCTGTCCTGAACGACTTAGAAGATCAACCAAAGATGTATAGTGTTTTAATGTGGGTTTAACGCTATAATACCCCATCAAATCAAAAAACTCACGGCCTGTCTTGACTGATCCAGCATGAACACATGAAGAGAGAACAGACAGGAAAGTCACATGGTCTGGTTTAAAACCTATGGCCAGCATTCTTTGGAAGAGAGCAATCCCCTCTTCCCCGTGTCCATGCATCGCATATGCAGTAAGCATGGCATTGTGGGACACCAAATTAGGGTTTGATATCCTATTATAGGCTAACTGTGCATGCTTTAAACTTCCACATTTTGCGTACATGTCCACAAGGGCTGCTCCTATATGGACGTCTGAGTCATAAACACATCTAATCGAGTGTGCATGAGCTTGTTTTCCTCGCTCAAGAGAGGCTAACCTCGAGCAAGCAGGGAGAATTATTCCAACTGTGTAAATATCAGGCCTCAACTTTGAGGTCTGCATTTCAGATAGCAACTGCATCGCTAAATCTAACTGACCATTTTCCACAAGACCTGCAAGAATGCTGTTCCATGTATAAATGTTTGGATGATAACCATCTCCTTTCATCTTCTCAAGAAGATTTTGAATTCTTTCTATCTGATTACTACGAGCATAGCCTGAGATCAGAGCATTCCAGGTCGGCACATCCTTCTCGATCACCTCATCGAAAGCCATCTGAGCAGCCACTTGGTCCTGGCATTTAGAGTACATTTCTACTAGAGCCCCACCGACAAAAGTATCAGATTGCAAGCCCTTGACAATGGCTTGAGAATGTATCTCCTTACCTTCCCTCAAAGAAATCATATCAGCACAAGCAGTCAAAACGCTCCCTAAAGTAAAAGAATCTGGCTCAATCCCTTCTTCCATTAGCAAATTCCGATACATATTCAAAGCTTCATCAAACATGAAGTTATCAACGTACCCTGAAATCATCGAGTTCCATGAAATTATATCCCTTTCTATCCCTGCAACATCCATGCGATCAAAGAGCTCCTTGGCCTTGGAAACATCACCACTTTCACAATACCCAACAATCATTGTATTACAAGATAATGCATTTTTCACTGAGAATTTCAAAAAGATCTTAACTGCACTTCCCATATCACCGCACCTCCTATACACATCAACTAATGCGTTCATCACAACGGGGTTACACAGAAAACCATGTCTCGTGATATAACCATGGAGTTGCATTCCAAGGTCAAGCCTTTGTAATCTGGCACATGCTGGAAGAACGCTCGCTAAGGTTCGTGCATTCGGTTCAAGCCCTTCTACTTGCATTCTAAATAGCATCTCAATGGCTTCCTCATCATAACCATTTTGCGCAAACCCTCCTATTACTGCACTCCAAGAAACAAGATTTGGCATAGAATAATAATCTAAGGACTTCATTTTCTCCAAAAATTCCAATGCCTCATAAACCATCCCATTAGCAGCACAAGCTGTAATAACAGAATTCCATGTTACACTATCCTTTTCAGGCATCTTAACTAAAACCTTTTTAGCATCATCCAAGCTTCCACATTTACCATACATATCTATCAAAGCATTACTCACATAAATATTCAAACAAAACTGAAACTTTATCACCAACCCATGTAACTGCCTCCCTAGTTCTACACTACCAAGGCCACTACAAACCTTAAACACTAAAGGAAATACAAAGAAATCCAATTCTCCACCATCAAATTGCAATTCTTGAAAGAGTAAAAAAGCTTCCTCAAACAGCCCATGATCCAAATACACCCTAAGAATTGCTTTCCAAGAATACAAGTTTCTCATTGGCATTGTTTCGAACAAACAGTTTGCATCTTTCAACAAACCACACCTTGCATACATTTGAAGCAACTTATTGTCTATAAATCCATCACCATAAAACCCAGTTTTAATTGTGTGAGCATGAACCTGTTTCCCCAATTTTGAGCATTTACAAGAATCAAGAACTGAAGCATATGTGCTTGTGTTTAATGGCTTGTTGTCTAGAAGAGTGAGATTGGACTGGTTTTCTGACTGAGAAATTTTAACAGGTTCATGGGTTTGTTTTAGTTTCTGAAAGGAAATAGCAGTGAGTTTGTTAGGAACACTGGGGCCATGGTTAAGTGATGGTGGCGGTGTAGGTGGGCGAGCGATGGGTTCCAACAGGTGGCTAGCCATTTGGCTTACGGACAGGACAAGGTGCCCCTTCTTTTTGCAAGAAGACAGTTAACTAAAGTCATAAGACACATTGCGACATTGGATGGTGAAACATGAAAAGAGTAAATTATACATTAGTCCCTCTAGTTTTTAAAAATGAATTGATTAGTTCTCTTTATTTCAAAAACTGCTAAATTGAATTCAATTTCTGGCTTTCGAAACATGGTCTAATAGCTTATCTTCCTTCATAAAATACGATTTTAAGACTGATCGATTCATTTATTTATGACCAAAGATATAAGATTACTTCAATTAAGATTTTTTTCCTTCTCTTAAAAAAATAATAAATATTAAGACCAGCCAGCATGAATTTCATGTCCCGTATATATTGCTTTATTTATAAGAAATAAAAATATGCTAAATATAATTTCTTGAAGGCCAATTAAGATATGATTTATGGTATTAGCTAGCTAAAAAACTCTCTCAATTATGCATTCATCAATTACCAAGAATGTTATGATATGATAGGGGAAAAAAATACTAAATATATTTCTTTTTTTTTCTACCTCAATCCTTGTTTTTCAATAACAGAATGCACAATTTATGTTTTCAATGAGCAAATAATAAAACAGTTTTCGTTTGACAATTATTATAAAAAAAAAAAAAAAACCTTTGTATCTTAGAATGGTAAGTCATATACAAATGATGAGATATTTTGTAGAAAATTAACCACATTAATAAATAAATAAAATATATGATTTATATTGAAATATATATAGAGAGAGAGAGACTAGAAAGGAAAATTGAAATGTTGGAGGAAATTAAAACATGTATAAAAGCTTTAAAACAAAATTTCGAAAAACATAATATGGATTCAAGCTGCAGTTAAAAGAGATTTAGATAATTTATTTCTTTATTTGGTATATCCTGGTAGATGAATTAAAATTGTTGTCAAAGAGATGCTAATATTCAAGAAAGTGGTGATTTTTGCGACTCCATAACCAATGTGGATGATGATATATTTTTTGTGATTTGTTTGTTCTTAATAGAAAAATAAATAGAAAAAGATTGGTGTTCTGTCAGGTGTTAACAAGAAAAGAAATAATTTTGGCAATTTTAATTCATCTAACAGGATATTAACGAAAATTATGTGAGTTTGCATTCAAAGATTAAAATATTTTAAAAAACATAAACATGTTTTAATTGTTTATTATGATTGAATAATTATATAAAAATGGTTTGTGTTAATATTAAATTTTATTTTTAAAAATTTTACAAAGAGATTTTATTTTTTAATATTATATTACTGAAAATTATGTGAGTTTGCATTTCGAGAAGTTTAATAAATAGTAGTTAAGTTTGAAGTTTAATTAATATATAATACACATCCCGTGTACCTATAGTAATAATACAACAATAAAAACAGTTTGGTTTGGTTTTTATTTTACTCAGCCCGATTTTTTAGGAAACTAAAAATCGAATTGAATTTATGAAACATAAATCTAAATATTTTGATTCGATTTTTAATTTTTTTAAAATTTAAAATTTAAATTATTTCTTCAAAAATAAAAATTGAAAAAAAAAACCAAAGAATTTCGATTTGTTTGGTTTTAAAACTGAACCGAAATAGTATGGAAGTTGGATTTGAGGTTGACCTGTTTGTTTAAGCTGATTATAACCTCATCGTCGCTTCGAGCATTAAAGCTGATAAAAGATTTGGCCCATGCAGGTTTCGAACCTGCGACCTTCGCGTTATTAGCACGACGCTCTAACCAACTGAGCTAATAGGCCGCCTGCAGTGCATCATCCAAGCTTCCACATTTACCAAAGATATCTATAAAACCATTACTCAAATATATATTCAAACAAAACTGAAACTTCATCACCAACCCATGTAACTGCCTCCATAGTTCTACACTACCAAGGCAACTACAAACCTTAAACACTAGAGGAAACACAAACAAATCCAACTCAATACCATCAAATTGTAATTCTTGAAAGAGAAAAAAGCTTCCTCAAACAGCCCATGATCCAAATACACCCTAAGAATTGCTTTCCAAGAATACAAGTTTCTGATTGGCACTGTTTCAAACAAAAAGTTTGCATCTTTCAACAAACCACACCTTGCTAACATTTGAAGCAAATTGGTGTCTATAAATCCATCACCATCAAACCCAGTTTTGATTGTGTGAGCAAGAACCTGTTTTCCCAATTTTGAGCATTTACAAAAACCAAGAACTGAAGCATATGTACTTGTGTTTAATGGCTTATAGTCTAGTAGAGAGAGATTGGACTGGTTTTTTGATCGAGAAATGTTAACAGGTTGATGGGTCTGTTTTGGCTTCTGAAAGGAAATAGTAGTGAGGTTGTTAGGAACATTGGGGCCATGGTTAAGTTAAGGTGGCGGTGTGGGCGGGCGAGTGATGGGTTCCAACAGGTGGCTAGCCATTTTGGCTTATGGACAGGACAAGGTGCCCCTTCTTTTTGCAAGAAGATAGCGATTGGATAGAGAAACATGAAAGATCGAACATGACCAATTGCTCAACTAAATAGCGAGTAAATTATAAATTAGTCCTTTTTATAAACAAATTAATTAGTCCTCTTCTGTTAAAAATTAATTATTTAGTTTTATATTTTTAAATTCTTTTGTAACTTTTTTTCTATTTTTAATTTATTTTAATTTTTTTAAAATATATAAAAAATAAAAAAAAGTAAGAAAATATGAAAATTTAATGAAAAAAATGATATTTTATGAAATAAAATAATATTAAATTAAACGTGATCAACACTTGATTTATAAATTAAATAATTAATTTTTGAAATAAAAAATTTTATTTATTTATTTTCTAAAAATAAAAAAGGCTAATTTATAATTTACTTACTAAAGAGGCTTTGAACCATGAGAAGGGACAAAAAAAAAAAAAAGTTGCCGAATTGAATTCAAATTCTGGCTTTCCAAGCATGGTAAAATAGCTTATCTTTCTTAACAAAATACGATTTTCATTAGAGTAATCGATTTGTTTTTTTTTTTAATGATCAAAGATATATATAAGATGACTATCTTTTTTTCCTTCTATTAAATTAAAAAAAAAACTAAATATTAAACACTAGTTAACATGATTTTCATGTCCCGCGTATATTGCTTAATTTATAAGAGATAAAAATATGCTAAACATAATTTCTTTAAGGCCAATTAAAATATGATTTATGGTATTATCAATCTGAAAAAACTCTCTCAATTTTGTATTTCACCAATCACCATTTATGTTCCGATATGATGTGAAAGGAAAAAAAAATGCTAAACATATATATTTTTTTCGTACCTCAATCCTTGTTTTTCAAGAACAAAATGCAAAACATATATATTATTTCCATGAACAAAAATTAAGTGATTTATTTATTATGAAACAGTTTTCATATGACCATATATTATAAAAACGTTTTTATGTCACAATGGTAAGTCATATACAAATGATGGGATATTTTGCAGAAAACAAACCATATTAATATATAAATAAATAAGATATATCAGTCATATTGAAATATAAATATATTTGTTAAAATTGAAATATCGGAGGAAATTAAAACATAAAAGTTTTAAGATGAATTGTGAAGAAACATGATATGGAATCATGCCGTAGTTGAAGAGATTTAAATATTTTTTTTAGAAAAAAATTTCTGGTACATCCTCTTCTTTTACGTCAATGAATTAAAGTTGCTCTTCAAAAGAATCTGCTTGAACGTGCCGATCAAGATCTTGCATTAATAGCTTTGGCTTCAAAACAAATGTGGTTTGGCTATTTCATTTTGTTGGGTCTTGAAATCATCCTCTAGAAAAGCTCATTTTGACTGGCATCCCTCTTATTGATATATATAAAGCAAAAGAAATTTATATATAGTTTTATTGCTGATCAAGTTACATAAATAATTAAGTTTAAAATTAAGTATATAATAGACATAGCGTGTAATAATAATGCCAGTGTTTAAATCCAAAAATACGCATAATGGATAGAAAATGAATAATAGATTGACGTGTGTTTGATTTAATTAAAAAAAAAATAATGACTTAGTCACGATGAATACGATGAATACGATGCAGAAGAAGATTTACCTTTCGCTTATTTGATTCAAGTTACCTATCAAGGGAATCCCCTGCTTCCTTGAACACTTCAAGCAAAGATAAAGAACACATCGCTTCCTCCAATGCACACTTTTCTCTGAGAATTCGTCATTTCCCGATACTCGAAAGTCTTCATCCCCCATTGCTGCAGTCTCATCTTCAACGAAGTTATGGATGTTCATCCCTGCATCTAGACTAGAACCTTCTTTTCTATCCACAATTGTTGAAGACGTAGCTTCATCTCGAGCATCCGCAATATTAAAGGTGAACCTAGAGAATCGAGTCAGGGTAATTAACTTGATTCCCGAGAGACAGAGCAACTGGAATTCGTCATGCTATGAAGGTGAACCTTCTTTAAACATAAATCTCTAATCCCCTTCTCATGACCAAGAGCAAATGGCATCCATTTCTTGCTGGATGCAAAACTTGATTTGGAGAACTCAGTTCCTTTGATTGTTTTGTTGTATAGAGTACTCCTAGTCGTATAAAAATTGGAACCATATCTGCCTTGAAACAGCAGAACAGAAACTGAGGATGATGATACAGCAGAATAATAGCATGGAAAGCAAGCTAGACATTCCTTGCTAATTTTTCACACCAGCAAATTACCCCTTCTCGAACAAGATAAAAAGAATAAGAGTATAATTACTACCTGGGGAAGAAAATGCAACTCCATCAACCCTTTTGCTTTAATACTTGCTCACAGAAAAGAATCAAATTTGCTTACTCATAATGCATGGGTACATAAAGTTTGAACAGTAGTGAGCAGTCATGAATTCCACCATCAAGCAAAGCAGCATTGCGCATGGATATGAATGTATTATCAGGGTGGGATTTTCTTCATAGCTGAGATCAGTTGTGTTTCTTGACATACATAACTTGTTTTCTTGGAATACATCTTGTAATCTAATGTGAAGCAGCTGTAAGCTAAATTGTTCTTCCAGTGTCTGTTGTGCTCTCGGAAAGAAAATAAATTAATAATTTCTTCTTCGTCTATGATGGATTTTGAATCAGACCCATCATGGATTGCCATTGTTTTTGCTTTTTTGAATCAACTCAGTGAGTCAATTTTTATCTGATCAATCTTTTAGATTTGCCAAATAAAAGGATATGCATCTTCTCTAGCTTGTCAATTGTGGTCCAATTATATTTTCCGGGATCCAAAATAAAAAAGAAGGGAAAAAAAGTTTCGTCCCACAGAATAAATTAAATAGCCTTTTTTTTTGAAAAAGTAATTAATTAGTCACTTAGCTAGTGGTTATCCATAGATATTATTTTATTTTTAAAAATATATTCTTTTCTAATCAATATTTTCATTTTTTTCTATTTATTAAACCAACATGAATTGAAAAAGAATGAAAGGGCTTATTAAGTTTCCAATAGATAAAAAACTACAGGGACATAATTAATAGTTATAAAAATTTAGGGACTATTTAAATATTTTCTAAAAACTAAAAGGATTATACTTTATAAAGCATTTATTCACAGAGAAAAGAGCAATACGAAAAGTTGGCCCATGCAGGTTTTGAACCTGCGACCTTCGCGTTATTAGCACGACGCTCTAACCAACTGAGCTAATAGGCCGGTTTGAGATTTGCTGAATTTTATTATATTTATAGATATTATCTCCTAACCACCTTCCAACTTCATTGCTTTCTGGACCTTGGTTATCCAGACCATTGGCCCCTTATGGCCTCTTTATGTATGAATCTACCGTTCACACTTCAATAAAAACCATGAAACCTCTGAGGGAAAACATAAAATTGGACCACAATTGACGCTATTTAATGGAAAGTTTTAGTTTTGGAAATTTCATATGAGGTTTGATTCTACAAATAATAAGGGGCAATCTGAGCCTTAATCGCAATCAAAGATATAAAATTATAGTTTATTTCAAAATAGAGAAAAACTTGATTTGGGATCAAATTCATTAAGTATTTTTCTCATTGTTAAGTGTAATTAAGATAATTAGAGATCCAATAAGCAAACTAAAAGTTGCAATTGAGAGCTTACGCTTTCGTTTATAATTTACAAATTTTTTTGTAATTTTAATGTGTAAATGATTTTGACGTCCCAATAAATATTTCAATTCTCCAACTTCAAATTTATAGCTCCCTCCTTGCAATTATATATAATTCCAAATAGATAGAAAATAATTAATTAGTTATCAAAACTAGAGGGATTATTTAAATTTTGTGAGAAACTAGATGAACTAATTTACAATTTAATGTACATATATATCCAGAAAAAAGAATAACAAAAAAATGGTTTATGCAAATTTCAAACCTGCGACCTTCACGTTATTAGCATAACGTTCTAACCAATTGAGCTAATAGGCCAATTGTCACTATGTGCTATTTTTTCCTTTCAAAATTAATACTAAGAATTTTGTCTAACCACCTGCCCCTTTCCAACTTCCCTGTTATTGGAACTTTGAATTGGGATTGTTATGGTTTCTCTCTCAATGGCTTTGGTTGTCTAAGACTGTTGCCCCCTCGAGGCCTCGAGTGCATCCGTATATGCTTAGTTAACTCAAACTCGAAGGTAAAAAGTGGTGGTTTTAATTTTTATAATTGAAACATATATAGGTTCAAATTAGTTTGATTTAAGAAATAGTTTAGTAGTCGATTAAAAAATTAGGTGTGTTCTAATGGTAATTTAACTTAAAAAATAATGAATTTAATTTCGATTAATATAAAATTGATCCGAAAATATCCTACTACTTATAAATATTAAAAAAAAAAAATTAAAATTGGAAACTATATATCTACCGTTTACACTTTATAAAAACTTTGAAATCTCTAAAAAAAAAACCATTATACACCGATGAAAGTGGTAATGAAATCATTGTAGTTTTTGCTATAAAAAAAAAAAAAAAAAAGTCGGTAATCAAAGTCTTAACACTATCATGGAAAGTGTTGTTTTCAAAATTTCATATGAGGTTTGATTCTACAGATAATACCGACAATGTGAACTTTAATCACACCAAAGATACAAAATTATAGCTTATTTCAAAACAGAGAAAAACTCGACTTGAGATCGAATTCATCATTTTTTTTCCTTATCGTCAGGTGTAATTAGGCAATTAGAACTCCAATAGGACAAAACTAAAGGATGCAAGTGAGAGCTACGACTCATAAAAAGTTCAAAATATCCCCTAAAGTTTAATAGTTATTTCATATAAGCTTTAACATTTTCGTTTATAGTTTATAAATTTTGTGTAATTTTTTGGGCGTAGATGATTTTGACATCTCTTTGCAATCATAATTCCAAACAGACACAAAATAATGAACAATGCATTTGACAAAAAATGAGAATTTCCTTTGGTTAGGGACAAAAAGAATCGAAACATTTGGCTCATGCAGAATTTGAATCTGACCAACTAGCTAACAGGATTTAACTCTGTCACTGTCTGCTATGACCGAGAGTTAGGCAGCTTTCAGGTGCCCATTTGTCCTCTAATTGAGCAGTTGCAAATAATGTGACAAAAAAGTGACCTATGGATGGAGACATCATTGGCTTCTATATAGATATATATTACTTTCACCATACTATGCCTTCATCTTCTTCATAAATACTTAGCTACCTAGCTAGCTTGAAGTTGTGGGCTGCATTTATTGTCTTGCACTACTATAGAAACTTTTATAGGTACGCTCTCTGATGAAGATGGCACGAGAACATGGATCCAACATGGAAAGTGTGGTTTTTAATGTAAGCAATTTCTTTGTTTGCATGGAGTCGGTGCAATAGAATGTGACATGCATTAGATGGTTATTGTCGGTGCAATAGAATGTGACATGCATTAGATGGTTCTTGCCTTTTGGAACGACATATTTTTATCATTACAAATTTTAAAATACTCCAATACTCCACGAGTAATTGATAATATTTATTTCATCAACTCATTTAAAAAAAAATACAAAAAAAAAAAAAAAGCATCCAAGCTCACAAAAATAATAGAATACAAAAAAATGCATCCAAGCTCACAAAAATAATAGAATATTTTCAGCCAGCTTTTTTTTTTAATTCTCTTTTATTTTTTCTTTATATCTATCTCTTTTTTATAAAATAAATATTATTAGTTACTTTTTTTTTGAATTTTTTTTCATAAGAAAATTTATTTTGGAGCTACAATAATTTACAATTTATAGTGATTCAGAAATAAAGAAATTATAGGCTTATAGCTTATGTTTAACGAATGATGGATAAGAAGACAATCATGTACTCCAACTGTTAGATAATTTTTAGAGCAAAAGCTTTCAATTTGCCTCATTATAGCAAAAAATCTCAACTGAATCCTCAAAGAAGTTTTGTTTCAATTAGATCCCTAACATAGTTAAAATTTTCCAATTGAGATTTTTTTTTCCTTTTAATCTGAATTCTTTACAAGTTTTTGACATAAAAAGGTACACTTTGAGAGGAACTCGTTAGTAAACAAGAATGAAAAAAATTCAATTGAAAAATTGCAAAATCTTAAAAACCTAAGTTGGGATAAAAAATTGTTTGGAGACTCGATCAAGAATCAAGAATCTCAATATTTAATGCGTGCAAATTAGTTCCAGTGTTTTTACAAAATACATTTGGACTGAAAATGCATCAAACCATACTTATTTTTCCCACCTTTTTACTTGGCTTTTTTTTTTAACCCACATCCTTGAAGTTTCTAGTAAAACTGATCTATTAGGATTTGAATTCTTAACCTCTTAACTATTACTCTTCTACAAGCTCTGTAGTTTTACTTGGCATTCAAAAGCCAAAAAGAAAAAAAAATATTTACATTACCAAATAAAATATTATATATCTCATCAAACAAGAAAAAAAGACACAATATTATAAAATTGGGAGTTTAGGTGAGGATTATCTCAGAGAGACAATTACCCACCGCCACAAGGAGGAGTTAAAAATATGATCTCTAATTCTCACCGACACAAGAAAGGGAAACATGATAGCATATGTCAACTTCATTGACAAATTTAGAAGAGCAAAAGAGAAAATGCAAGTGCTTGAAAAAATACCAAGTTAGAAAACATAATTGTTCAGCAAGAAAAGGACCCCCCTCCACCTCCATTCACGGCTTTAAGGTGGACACATTGCATAAAATAATGCACTAACAAAATGGATAATCTATGCAACATGTACATACTTTTCCCTTGTAAATTCATATTGGAGGTTGGTGATGCATGGCCATAAATCTTTTGCTTTGTTTAGTGGAGAAAATTATTCTTTGGCAGAGCTACCGAGGGGAATGTTTGTGGACCCGACTAAGGAGACAGAAGGTGAATGCTCGTTCAAGCTATAGCTTCTTTGTGTTTAAATACACAAAAGGATAGAGATGTGGGCAAGCAATTATCATTCACGGAAGTGGAGCAAAATGTTGTGCAAAGAGTTCAAAATTGAGTAGCTAAAATAGGAAATCTTTGTAGCTAAGGATCAAATAGTACGTATTCAAGACATTCACAAATTCAAAACCTCTCAAAGAGGGTCAGATAGGTATTAGAATTGAGTTGTATTATTGAAAAGCAAGTGTAGTGATTCATTGAAAAGAAAAAAAGGGAGGAAAAAAGTGGGGAATTGAACTTTGATTAGAGAACAAGTGATGGGTGTGATCTAAAGAAAGCTTGCATTAGATCTAGCTCCTATAGGGAGAAAGTGGCATACCATGTGAAGAAATGGCTAATGGGTCATACCAACTCATGATTTGGTGATTAATTACTCTCCTTCAGATCCTACTTTGCTTCTTGAAGATTGCTTTAATGGGTGGAAGAATCTCAAAGACCAAAATGGTGTTGATAAGACCTGACACTTGAGGACCTGTTGGCAAGGAAAAAAGCAAGAAAAAGAGAAAGGAGAAACACAAAAAGTGCTGTAAAGGATTGACAGCCATCATGCCAACTCACTTCGACCCCAAGAAAGTAAATAATCCATACAGAATCAATCTCCAATAATCACCCACAAATCCCAGTGCTAGCTTAATAAAAAAATAAAAACAAAACTAGTCAAATTCTGCTCATCATCACAGTTGAGATTACACAATTCAACCGCTTATACCTAAGCTAGCTAGGTAGGTACATGTCGTCTTTTGTTCTCAATTTAGTGAAGAGCCTGTAGATTAATTCTTGTTTCATCTTGAAGCCAGAACTAAAATAAGCTTCAAACATGCATCCATAATGAGTAACAAGGAGAGGAGGAGGAAGACCAGACAAGATGAAGTCTAAGAAAAGGGTGGAAAAATCAAGCTAAAAATGAAAGCAAGAGAGATACCCATGTAACCCTATCTGTTAGCTAGCTAGTTTTGATTTAACATAAACCAAAGTCATTCACCAAGTGAAGAAAAAGAAAAGAAAAGGAAGACTAAATTAAGATCGATAAAACACAAGGGTAAACATCTTTGTGATCATATCCATTCTCTCTGTTAATTTACCATGATCCTCCACCTAGCATTCCATTCCAATACCCAGGAGCAGTATCTCCTTGCCCTCTTGTATTCTGCTCAAATTCGGTATTGCTTTGAACCTGTTTCAAGTCCTCCATAGGAAACAAAAGCCTTGCACTGCCAGTCTCATGCATCCCTTGAATGTTACTATACCCACTTTCAAACCCTTCTAAAGAAAAATTCTGGGTTGATGGCTTGAATTCTTGTAAAGGAAACCCAGTTGAAAACATGGGGTTGTGTGAATCAGATGCTGCAGGAATTGACATGAAAGCGCTAAATCCCCTTGGATTCATTCCAGCGCTCTTTAGAAGCTCCATAGCTGAGATATGAGATGGAGGTGTAGCTGAAGGGTTAGGGTTTTGATGGTGGGTTTTGTTGCTCTCGGTATCAAAAGGCATCTCAACAAACTTGGACAAATTACTATAATCATCAGCTGATGGGGGGTAAGCTAGGTTTAGATCTTGTCCTTCATGGATCTTAGGGTTTTGAGAAGCTGACTGATGGAAATTTGGTTGGGTCCGATCAAGAGGAAACATCTTCGATGAAGCAGCAGCTGCTGATGATGATGACGACGACGGATTACTTGATGATCTCTTGTTCTTTCTTGAACCACCACCAACAGGAACATTTCTTAAAGACCCACCTTCAGTCCAGTACCTTCTACAAGTCTTGCAGAAGTATCTTGGCTGAGACAGACTATAGTTGTTGTAGTAACAAAATTTTGTATTAGTAGAACTACACCTCGGACAATTCAAAGCTTGATCCTTCTGAGGCCTTGCCCTTCTCTCTAACATGTCAGGCGTCGGACCTTCCATCGGTTTAACAACAGCAATCCCCTGAAAGTGAAAAACCACAGACAAGAAAAAGCCATAATTTCAGGATTGACACAACAAAAAACAAGTCCCCTCAAAACTCCCACTTCAAATTTGGTAGATAAAGATGGAGAAAAGGAAAGTTAAAAGGAAACAAACAAGACAGAGAAAACAAAAGAAGACCTCTTTACACTTTGCGGATTACATGCAACAGGAGAAAAGAAAAATAAAAATACAAACTATAATAACTTTTCTAGGTGCTTTATCAGATGGTGGAAAATAAAAAGAAGTGCAGTACTTTCAACTTTCAAGAACAAATTAAAGAAAGAACACTAAATTCAAATATTAGTGGGGGCTGAACAACAACATCATCTCAAGAGAAAAAAGTGAAACTTTATGCATACTAGCAAGTAGTAATCAAGAAAAATAAAACATATATTCTAATTAGGCTTGAAAATCCCAACCCAGAAAAGGGATAAAAAGGAAAAGAACAGCATGATTATGTGTAGAGAAAAAAACGGTGTCTTTACCTGTGGCCACTGAGTAGTAGTATCCATGGATTAAAGAGGGAGAAAAAAAAAGCTAGGCAGTCTTTTGCTCGAGGAAAAATCAACAACTACTGGTCTTAAAAGCTAAAGATGGAACACCTGGGAGGGTATTTGTTGTGGTGCGTTCTCGTGCTTTGGCCTAATAGCACACCAAAAAATGAGCAGGGACATTCTTGTCTTTTCCTATTCTTTCGTTATCTTAGTTTTTTCGGTTACAGAAATTGAGTGTCTAGAACGCTTATACACAGTGAAAAACACATGACGGCACCGTACCCCATATATATAGATATATATGTGTGTGTATGATGTTTATTTGTGATTTTTACGATTTATAATTTACATAAGTGTCGAGTAATCTCATGGCTTTGATGTTAAATTAAAATTTAAAATATTTTTATGAAGATATAAATCTAATCAAATATAGTTATTTATGTACAAATCGTAAATAAAAAAACTTGAATAAATATGAAATAACTACAAGATTGAAAGTAAAAAAGAAACTAAATGTGGATATATTGTTTTAGTAATTAAATATATATTTTTTGTATTGTAATATAAGTATTTGGAAAAGTTTGTTTGGATTGAAAAGCATCAATTAATTCTTATTTTTTAGGGTTTTTCTTCTTTTTGCTATCTTTTTCATGCAATCCAAACGTGTTATGATATCTTTATGAATTTATAAATCTATTCAAACATAACTATTCAAGCAAACATGGTACAAAAAAAATCGAATAAATATGAAATAAATACACGACTAAAAGTAAAAAGAAAAGAAATATATTGTTTTGGTAATTAAATACGTATTTGGTATCGTAATATAAGTAAAAATAAGTTTGTTTGGATTGAAAAACAATTTTTTAAAAATCTTTCTAGGGTTTTTTTCCATGCAGTCCAAACGTATTATAGCCTATAAGTTATTAAATAAAAACTCGGATTTGACCTTTTGCCAACTAAAATCACTCATCTGTCACCTGAACCAACCCCTTTTGCCAATCTTTATTATTTGGAAAAAGTTTGTGCATTGTTTGATTTTGTAGACATATTTACGAGTTAGTCAATGCTTATTCTTTATGGCGTCTTTGTGCGGTTGTGCTGTGGACTTTAGTGGGCTATTTCTGACCAGAGAACGAGGATGTAACCATGATTCTTCTTCTTCTCCTTCACTTTTCTATTCTTTATTATTCTTGCGATCTTGTCCCTGGATTTTCTTTCCTAAAAGAAAGTGTGTTCGAGAGGGTTTAGGTAGGCCGGTTTTTTCCCGATTAAATTATAAATTATTATTTTTATTTTTTAAAGAATAAATAAATTAATTCTTTTATTTTAAAACTAATTATATTAGTTTTCTTTGTTCATTCTATATTCTTTCTTAATTTGTTTTTTTAAAATAAAAAAGCTAAAATAAGTAGATATCGTTAAAGTTCATAAAAAAAAAATGATACTTTATAATAAAATAATATTAAATTAAATGTATTTTTTAAAAAACTTACATGCTCAAAACTCCTAGTATAGTCAGTATACTAGAATCTAAATATGTGATCTGTTGTTGGAAGAGATTATTACTATTGGACTATAAGCTCTTTATTAAATTAAATATATTCGATGCTAGTTTATGGACTAAATAGTTAATTTTTGAAATAAAAAATTTATTTATTTATTTTTTGAAAATAGAGGGACTAATTCATAATTTACTCGACATTTCCCCACCTTCGCCATGCCAAAGCAATCGGCAAGTGGCAGCACGTGTAACTGGACGTTTGTGCAGACATTTTGTATATGAAAAAAAGTAGGAAACCCAATTCTAATTTGTCTTCGCTACTTTTTTTTTTTTCCCTCTTTGTGAGTAAATGAAGAAAACTCATTTTTGTCAAGGAATTTTAATAGGAAGGTATAAATGGCCCTATCTATATGACGAGGCTGCACATTTTGATCAGCCAAACATAATTGACAATTCAGAAAGATACTTCAAAATGACTCTAAAGACTTTGCGAGTCATGAAAGGGTCAAGAAAATTGTTGAAACTTACCTTTTAAGTACCAAGAATCCATGAAAAATTGCACCAAGAAGGTAGTGATTTCTTTTTCAAGTTCATCAAATTTCTTTCCCTAACAAAAGATGGATACTCTAGGGTTATGCTAGCCAGCTATTGAGTGCTAAATGTGATAATGAGCTGAGTCTTAATCCTACTTTTGCACGCTAAAAGTATAAAAAATTTCCGAGTTAATTCATTGGATGAGTTTATATATATTCATAATTAGTTTTTATACGATTATCATTTTTTTGCTTGAGATCTTTTATTATTTTCCAGCTTGATTGAAACTTTATACTCTTATAAATTTATTGATTAAGACCCTCCGTTACAACGTTATTAATTATTCATTTCAAGTGCTGATTAAGAGTTGACACGTGAAAATGTGAATAAAATGTTTTTACCACTTGTCGTTGTTTGATTGGTTACCATTAGTTTTAACTTGCTACGTATGATAAATAATTAACCACGTTATAACGAAGGGTTTTAATCAATAAATTTATATGAGCAAAAGGTTTCAATCAATTTACAAAAAATAATAAAGAGTTCCAATAAAAAAAATATTAAAACTATATAGAAATCAATTATAGAATAAACCCCTATATATATATATATATATTTAGATCAACTTTGTTATCAATAAAAATTAAATTTATTTTTTTTTAAATTTGATTTCTATTGAATCATATTTAATTTTTTATCGATTCTAAAATTAGATTTTTTTTTTTAATGCTTTCAGCAATTCATGTTTAGTGTTAACACAAAAGATTTTAACAATGAGAGTCAAACTTTTGATTTAGCAAGTCAGAAACTTTTTTATGGCTTCACTTAAACCTTCGGTGGTATGAATTGATATATTTTACGTGGTAAAAAATTAAAAAGTTTAATTCGTCGGTTTGAACTACGCTGGAAGTAGGAAAAAAATTAGCATCAGACTAATGCAGAAATATACTTCTAAAATCAATCATGGAGGAGCTCGGCATTGGACCAATAACGGATATATTTTTAATAAAAATTAATTTCAATTGACATATAAATTAATATAAAAATATATTTTATACTATGAATAAAAAAATATATATATATATATGTATCTTGGTGATCATACTTCTCATTGCTTGAAGATGCTGCGATTACAATACCGATAAGTTTGTTGAGTTTATTAACTCATGAAAACTCATTCAAGTCGTGTAATTCGACTGATTGTTTATCCAATTATCATGTTCCGAAGACAATTTTATTGGCTAAATTCATTTTTTTCGGATCATGGGCTTCGAAAATAACACTCAAATTTACCCAAAAAAAAAAAAAAAAAGGCAAAATTTGACATTTTAAGTCATTCATATATATATATATGCGTAGTGGCGGCAGCTCGGACTTCAAGTAAACTAGAGCTTCGAGCCAGATAGAATATACACGTGGCGGAAAATTAGAGACAATGAAGTGGACCCCGCGATGGAAACCAAATTGAAAAACCGAAACGTGTCCGTGACGTCAGGAAAAGGGGCCCAATTACAATCAGAAAAGAAAAAAGAATCTGCAGCAACCGTTGATCTGTGATTGATGATTTGAGAAAGAATGACTTGGTTTTGTTTTAATCAACCACGTCACGTGATGGGAAATTTGTGGGGCCACGACCTGCCGGTGCTCTCTGGTGCATCACACGTCATCTGAACCTCTTTCCGAGTTGGTTAGTTGCCTCCTCTTGGTTCGTTTGGGGTAATTAGATTTGAGAAGGTAGGAATCGGATACGCAACTAAACAACCTCGGATACGTAACTACTCAAAATGATTTTTCTTATTAATTTTTTTTTATATATAATTCAAATTTCTCATAACTTATTGATGTGAAATACGAAACGTCGATTAATCAAAAATTTTCAACTAATTGAAATTTGAAGCTATCTGATTAATTAAATTAATTAATCTTTTGATTAAGTAATTAGTTGGATAATTGATTTTTTAAGAAAAAAATATTTTATTTAAAATATTTATGATTATGGAGACGACGGGGACAGCCATCATGATCTAGTAAACCGATGAGTCCAAAATTCATTGTTTGATTTGGTTTTGTCATATTATACCTACATGCGATTACAATTTATTATAACATTATTTATTACTCCTACTTTTATATGAATGATTGGATGATAAGTAATACTGCACAGTTCTTTTAAAGTTATGGTATGAAAAATAAAAAATGAATTGTAGAATATTATTTTTACTCGTTTTTCAATAAGTTAAGTGATATACTACGGTGGTATTACAAATATCAAAATATTGCAATAATTATTTAATAGGATTTATTTAAATAGAAAGAGTTCTAATCGCTTAAATAATTAGTTTCGAGTTTGAATTTGAATTTTTATATATGTAAAAAATTATTTGAATAACTATTTTTAGCTTGTGCGTTCAAACAAAACAACAAGGATTAATCTGAAGTTTTAAATTTTTATACTTTAAAATATCCAAAAAATATTACAAATAATTGTCTATATGTTTTTTTATGAAATAATAGAAAAATTTTATAATACACAAGTGGCATGTACGAGTAGTTAATACTGGTATCCACTTTGAAGAGAGAGGTAGACACATAAAAAAGAGAGAAATTATATCTATGCCCACCAAAAGTGATAAGAAGATTTTCACGTCCGATCAAATTTTTTTTATTTTCTCTCTCTCTTTTTGTGTGTCTATCTCTCTCCTCAAAGTGGACCCAATGAGTAACTATCGTACATGCAACTAGCTACTCATTGTGTATTATAAAATTTGTCGAAATAATGTACATCTTATAAATAATGCATCAAAAAAATAATTTATTTTTATTTTTAATATCTCTTAAATCTTAACATCTCTTCAGCACTAGTTAACAAAAATAAAAAATTGTAATACGACTGTCATAGTTATCAAATACTCATAATTCATAAAAAGTAAGACAGCGCATGCCACTGGCTCCCGAGATTTTTGGCCGAGAATCGTCACCA